GATTTAGCTCAGTGGCTTAAGTGCCTGCCTTGCAAGCGGGAGATCATGAGTTTGATCCCTGGTACTGATAAAAATAAAAAAATTTTAAAAAATGATCAAACAATGACAGCATAAATTGTTCCTTTTGATGAACTAACAGAGATTATTAGTATAGATCTCTATCTTGCATACATATACATACATACATTTATATATATATAACTATACATATAATCTTTTCCCTTCTTCCTTTTGTCTTTTCCCCTAGAATGAATGAATAAGTACATCTTTGAAATGAGCACTTTTTATAAAATATACCCACTAGATGGCATTATTTTCAAACTCATGTACTTAATATCTGGGGAAAAAAATAGGCTTTTACCCTAAAGAAAAAAGATTGTTGCGATGAAGATTGTCATAAGAAATCATTAGGATTAATATGAGGGAAAAAGAATACTACATAGATTACTACATTTATATTTTTGTCAGGCTTTTTCTAAAACAAAAATCATTTGGAAAAGCTTATAGAAAGCCACAGCATATTGGTATATAAATAATCATTCAGTAGTTACTTTGCATGGTAAATGTGAATAAAGGTAGGTCATTTCTATACAGTGACTGCCATTCGTCCACTCTTAAGCCACTGGTTGAAATCCAACCGAGTACTGAAAGAAAGAAAATTTTTTGGTACCGGGGATCGAACTCACAACCTTGTGCTTGCCAGGCAGGTGCTTATGCCACTGAGCTAATCTCTGGCCCAAGAAAATTATTTTTGCCTATTAGCAAAATTCATTTTATTGGTACATTTCAGATACACATAATAATCACATTCATTAGAGGAAGTTTGTACCTGTACATGATCTATCTATCTATCTATCTATCTATCTACCTTTCTTTCTTTCTTTCTTTCTTTCTTTCTTTGAGACAGAATCTTACTACTTGGTTCAGGCTGGCTTTGGGCTCACTTTGTAGGCCAGGCTGGTCTTGAATTTGCAAGGATCTCAAGTGCTGGGATTACAGGAGTGAATCAATATGCCCAGCTATGTACATGGTATTCCATGGTATTCTTGATCCCCCCCCCCATCCCTCTCCTCCTTTAACCTCTGTCCCCATTTTTATTTACAAAAGCTTTATTTCCATTTTCTTCACTCTATTATTTTTTCTTTCCCCTTCCTTCCTTTCTTCCTTTCCATCCCTTGTTTGCTTTCCCATATGAATATTTTCTTCCTATTTCCCAGTATTTGTTATACATTTTGGCCTTTATTTACTATCTTGGTTACTTTTCTTTCATTGATGAAACAAAATACCTCACACCTAAAATTAAGGAGGGAAAGGTTATTTAGTTCACAGTTTGTGGAAATTTCAGTCCATAATCGGCTGGCTTCAAGGCAGGGTGGCATGACACAGGGGTAAAGCAACAAGAGCAAAAGAGGGGAAGGAGCAAGCCTCTTTTCCTCCCGGGTATTGTAAGCAGGCTATGCCCCTTGGGTGGGTGTAGCACTCATACCATCTGCTGGCCTCCTCTTGCACAGGCTGAGGATGTTACAAAGGATGGACCTTGGAATCACTTAGTTAGATTTCTGACCTTCTCAAATTGACAGAGTGAACATCTTAGAACTGTAATGGCTTGTCTTCTACACTCCAGGATGTAGAGTAACTGAGTCACCTAGTTAAGCTTCTAGACTCCTCAAATTGACACAATACATTAACCATAACATTTACCCTTTCAGTTTCTTCTACTGGAGAAACAGTGTGATATTTAAACATGTATGTCTATTTCATTTAAGAGTATGGACTCTTTTTTTTTCTCTTCCTTTCTCTCCTCCCCTCTTGTTTTTCTTTCTTTTGAACAATTTCCTATTTCATAATATCTTTATCTACTTCCCTAATTATTTACACATTTGGTATCTCATATCAGAGAAATGATTTGATATTTACATGAGTCTGAGTCTGATCTTAAGACTATGTTCTCAAGATCAAAAATGTCTCAGGTTTATCCTTCTATATGGCTGAGTATTACTTCATTGTAGAAAAAGACACATCTTTATCCATTTCTTGGTTGATATGGGCATTTTGTTGTTTCCAAGATTTAGCTATTAAAACTGCTACTGTAAACATGGGTGTGCATATATTGCTGTGGTATGTTTTTAATTTTTCTGGGAAAATATCCAGAAGGGGAATAGCTGTATCATGTGGTATCTCTAATTCTAGTTTTTTGAGGAATCATCATACTGATTTCTATAATATTTGTACCAGTCTACACTCCCACCAACAGTGCAGAAGGGTTCATTTTCCCCACAGCCCCTCTAGCATTTGTTATTGGTTGATTTCTTTCTTTTTTTCCCCCCTGGTACCAGGGATTGAACTCATGACTGAACTCATGACCTTGCACATGCCAGGCAGGTGCTTATGCTGCCGAGCTAAGTACCCAGCCCTTATTGATTGATTTCTTGATGATAGCCATTCTTTCTGGGATGAGATGGAATCAGCATTGTCTTAATTTGCATCTCTTATATGACCAGTGGTGTTCAACATTTTTTCATATATTTATTTGCCATTTGTATTTTCTTTCTCTCAGAAGTCAGTGTTCATCTCAGATGCCCATTTTTGGATTGAGTCTTTAAATTTTGGGGTTGATTGGTTTTCAATTCTTTATATGTGATAGATATAAGAAGTCCTTTGAGGGACAACTAAGATTTTTTTTCTCACTCACTGGGTTGTCTTTTCACTACATTGGTAATTTCTTTTGCTGTGCAAAACCTTTTTATTAGGATGAGATCCCATCCAGTCTGATTCTTGCTTGTTGGTTGTGGTACCAGGAACTGAACTCAGGACCTTGAGCTTGCCAAGCAAGCACGGTGCTGCTGAGCCATATACTGGCCCTCCAGTCTGACACTTGATCAACTACATAGCTTGACTTTGAGAAACTTCCATGTTTGTAGTAGAATTTTCTGGTCAAAACCATACCTATACTATTAAAAATTAGTTTTTTAAAAAAACTTATTTCTGTAACACTAAACTCAACAAGTAGGTACCCTAGTGGAAGAATTTATACATTTCTGCCTAACCTCCAGAAGTTGCCTGTCTGCTTTCTCCAAGGCAACACCATTTTCTCTTGCTTTTATCACTTACCTGATTTCCTTCCTCTATTTTAACCCTATGCCTCCCTAAACACCTTCTGAGTGGTTATCTGATCCACTTTGTTCTCACTCTGTACCTCTTTTGGTACATTCTTAGTTGTGAAGTATTTTTCCTCTTCATGTGCAACCTATTTATGTTTTTTACAATTTGTTCAAAATATATCTTAATAAAATCATTGACTAGTTTTCTTTTCTCTTCCCTTTTTCCTGTTTAGATTTTCCCCTTTTGTTTCTAAATATAACATATGTAAAGGATTTATTTTTTCTGTTTAAAATTCTCAGCCTCTCAACTGTTTGGAGATTAAAACACTGTGCTTTTGTACTTTTGTGTCTCTAAATGGAACATAAAATATAGGATGGTTTTAGTGTTAGAGTTTCTTCTCCAGTTTGATTGGATGGCTAAGTGTAGGGCTAGCTGTCATTTTAAATGGAAGACAGTTACACTCAACAAGTTGTATTTTTTAAAATAAAAAAACACTTTAAACCTAAACCTGAAATGTTTGTAATTTCTAGTAATGGTCTCTGGGTCATATCTTATTAATGATGATAGTTCTCTCTTTCACCTTGTCATTTTTTTTTTTTTTTCTTTTCTTCTGGTACCGGGAATTGAACTCATGACCTCTTACTTGCCAGGCAGGCGCTGTGCTATTGAGCTATATTCCCAGTTCTCACCTTGTCATTCTTCTGGGCTTGGCCTATTCCATATATTAGATGTAACTTTAACACCAGAATTCAATGTTTAGATCATTTTTTTTTGTTTGTTTCCCAAGAAAGAACTAGAGAGCATTCATTTATTTAGAGAATTTTCTCTTTACCAAGGAACTATTGGGTTGCATTGATTTATATGAATTAAATTTTAAATTGAGAAAGTACGTTTTTCTGGAATGAGACATGGAGATACTATTGATATCTTGTTGATAGAATGATATACTATACTTTTCAAGAATACATTGTTCTTTCAAGAAAATGAAAGCATTTTTATTATTTGCTAATATATCTTACAGTTCCTAGATTAAATATTTATTTATTTAAAAAAACACTGGAAAATTTACCTGGAAAAGTAAAAGTGAAGGAGTAAAAGTGAAGAGTGAGGAAGGAATTGGCTTTGCAGACTAAGCTTGGGCCAAGTAGAAGGAAAAAGCAAGATAAAAATACGTGTTGGGGAAGGCAGGGTGGGCCATCATGAGGAAATCCATGAGAGCCTAAAATATTTATGAAAACATTTATTCCCAGAAAAATCTCAGAGACATTTGCCAAGATTAGACCTGGTACCAAATTCTGTCTTGGTTACTTTTACTTTTCTCTCATTGTTGGGACAAAGTACCTGACACCTAAAATGAAGGAAGGAAAGATTTATTTATCTTATAGTTTTTGGAGGTTTCAGTGCATAATCAGCTGGTTCCAAGGCAGAGTGGCATGACAATGGGGCAATACTTCAAGGCAGCAGCCAGAACAAAAAGGCAGTCAGAGCAAAAAAGGAAAACAGGCCTCTTCTCCTCCCTTACATTATACACAAGCCACCCTCCCCACTTCAGGGTGGGTGTAGCACTCACAAAATCTCCTTGCCCTCCTTTGCACAGGATAAGGATATTTGCAAAGTAAGAACCCTGAGTCTCTCAGTTAAATTTCTAAACTTCTCAAGTTGACACAATGTATTAACCATAACAAGATGACATCTAAAAGTTCTTGCTGGATCATGCTTTGACTGCCAACCTCTGTTAGTGTTTATTTAAAAAGAAAAACTTGCATTTAAAACTTGTATTTAAAGCCATCTGCTCTATTGATTAGGCTTGTGTTTCTCAAATAAATTTCATTAGAGGTTCAGCAGTGTGACTTTAAATACCATTGACTGTTTTCTTTTGTGCTATTTTCCCCCCACAGACTGATTGAGATAGCAGAATCCCGTTTTCCTAGATATTTTAATACTGAAGAAAAGTTACTTTTGACAAGTACCAAAGTTTATGTTTATCGAGAACTTACCTGTGAAAAAGTTCTACAAAGGTATGCTGTTTTAGACTTTAGTTAAGTAATGCTTTGAAGGCTTATTTTTTGTCTTTTACATTTTTAGCTTCTGAATAGAAGAAATTCCTATATATTAGGGTTACAGGGGAGTAATTCTTTAAGTTTTCCTTTTGATTTGAAATTTTTTGAAATAATTAAAAATGAAAAAGTGGTAAATAAAAGATTCAGGTTATTATATAAGTGGTATATCAATTATCTGTTGTTCTATTAAGTTATCACAGTTATGAGTTTAAAATATCAGATTATATTATTTTTCATAATTTCTGATGGTTAAGTATCTGGGAGTGGATTGGTTGGGAGTTTCTGTCCCAGAATTGCTCAAGAGATAGTAGTTAAGCTGCTGGCCGTGGCTGTAGTCATTCTAAGGCTGCTTTCAAGCTCATTTGTTGTGTTTTGAAGTCCTCTTTCCTTACTACGTGGGCTTCTCTGTCAAATCACAGCATGGCAGCCTGCTTCACCTAGAGAGAGTGATCTGAGAGTGGGCAAGTGGGGAGTGTCTGAGATGAAGATTGTTGTCTTTTACAGTCTACTCTTAGAAATGATATATTATCATTTTGTCATAGACTGTTAGTTACACAGACCAACTCTGGTACAATGTGGAGAGACAAGGGTATGGCATGCTAGAAGATAGGGGTGAGTGGGTTCATTTTGGAGACTGGCTATCACAAGTAGTTTCCCTCTAAAATTGAAGCTTTAGTGGTATCATAGGAGAACCTCTGAATTATGCAACTAAATGAAAATATTTTGCTCTGTTTCCAAAAAAAGGCCTTATATATAACTAAAAATATTACATTTATTGAATTTCTGTAGTCAACACTATAATTTAGGGAATAACAATTTGCTATTGTTTTAAAGCTGATTAATCTTTGTAATGCTGTATTTTAAAACTAGATTTTAAATATATCTACTGTTTTACAAATTATACTGTTGCAGGATTGAATCTTTGGAAGAAGAAATTATTTCAAAAAGAGTTAAAGTTGTGATTATTGACTCCATTGCTTCTGTGGTCAGAAAGGAATTTGATACACAACTGCAAGGCAATATGAAAGAAAGAAACAAATTTTTGGCCAAAGGAGCATCATTATTAAAGTATTTGGCTGAGGAATTTTCAATCCCAGTAAGTTTTTTTTTTTCTTTTTTTTTTAATATTAAGTTCACTGGCTCATAATGTCCAGTAGTAAAATTAACAGAAAATGTGAAACAGATGAGTTTTCTTTAAAAAGGTAGCATGGTTTGATTGCAATGGAAAGGATCACTATTTTTTTAAATTAGTTTGTGTCCTGAATTATAATGGTACCTTGGCTTGCAAACCTGATTTTTTCCGTGATTTTGGTCACAAACCAAGTTGGATGAGAACCAAATCAAATTCAGTGGTTAGGGTCAGTGTTGATCTTTTGGGAAAATTTGATTCAGTTCTTTTTTTTTTTTTTTTTTTTTGATTCAGTTCTTGTTCAGTTCAGTTTGTGACTGGAATCATGAAGAAATTGAATTAGTGAACTAGGATACCACTCTAGTTTACTTGCTTCATAATTTGTCACTAGGGAAGTCTTTAAAAGTTAAATATTAAATGTTAAATGCCTTTAAAAGATTTCATAGTCACTTTCCCCCCATCTTGTCATTTACACATTGTGTATGTTTTATATCATTTGTTACACCAAAATATCTGTTAAGTAGTAAAACTCCATGAGATTTTCCAGGTTTATTTCTAGATTTTCTTTCTTTCTTTTCTCCTCTTTATTCCTACATCTTCTCCCTCCCCCCACCCCACACCGTACCCATCTTTCTTTCCTTTTTTATTCTCATTTTCTTTTTGCAGTACTGGGGATCCAGTATCACTGAGCTATATCCCTACCTCTTCTTATTTTTTGCTTTGAGACAGGACCTCACTAAGTTGTGTAGGTTGATTTTTGAATTTGTGATTCTTCTGCCTTAGCCTCTCCTGTAGCTGGGATTGCAAGCTGCAACTCTGTACTTGACTGGTTTCTTTTACTGCAATAGTTGTTAGTTTTATATATATATATTTTTGGTTGAAATTCTGTGTTATTTTGTTCAGTGCTGTTTTGTACACAGTCTGATTTAGTTTCCTTCCCATGACAAGTGGTCAACCATTAATGGATGTTGGGGTACTAGTAATGAAAGTAGCATTAGGCAGCACTGGCACAGGTTTCAGTTGTGGGCATTATGATTAGGAAATCTGAAGATAAGGAAACACTGGAAAGGTTTGTGGAGAATAAACTGCAACATGCGTGTCCATTTGCATGTCCATGCAGAGCATGTGGAAGAGTATACTTATTTGACAGCCTCAGCAGCACTTGGTATTATTAGATTTTTCAATTTTAGTCATGAGATGAAATTTGGTTATGATTTTATAATTTTTAGCTTTGATTTTAGAAAATTACAATCTTTATTTTGGTACCAGAGATCGAATTCACAACCTTGTGCTTGCCAGGCAGGCACTTATGCCACTGAGCTGAATTCCTAGCCTGAAAATTACAATCTTAAAATGGAAAGATACCCCTTTTTCTTGGGTAGGAAGAAGCTACATAGTGAAAATGGCCATACTCCCAAAATTGTTACACAGATTTAATGCATCACAATCAAAATACCATTAGCATATCTCACAGAATTAGAGAAATAATCCTCAAAAGCATTTGGACCACAAGAGATCTAGAATGGCAAAAATAATTCTGGGCCACAAAGGCAAGGCAGGGGACACCACAATCTCTGATTTGAAATTATACTACATAGCTACTGTGATAACAACAGCATGATACTGGCAAAAAAACAGACCTGTGGGTCACTGGAACAGATTAGAAGATGCAGAAACAACTCCAGACACACTCAGCCACCTTATCTTTTATAAAGGGACCAAACATGTACACTGAAAGAAAGTATGTTTAGTAAATGATGCTGGAAAAATTGTTTTTCCACATGCTGAAAGCTAAAATTAGATCCAAGTCTGTCACTATATACTAAACTAAAATCAACATATATGAAAGACCTAAACATTAAAACAGACACACTAAATCTGATGGAATTAAAAATAGGTGAAACTCCTGGAGACAGGTGTAGGCAAAGACTTTTTCAGCAAAATCCCATTTTATAGGAGCTATCACAAAGAATCAACAACTTTGATTTTATCTTATTAAAAAGCTTCTTCACAGCAAAAGAAACCACAACTGAATGAAGAGACAACAAACAGAGTGGAAAAAATTTTAGTGAATTGCTCCTTCGACAGAGTACTAATATCTGGAACATAAAGAACTGAAAAAAATCACATCCTCCCAAATTTAAAGACTCAATCCAAAAATTGGCATTTGAGATGAATATATACTTTTCAGATGAGGAAGTACAAAAGACAGATATATGAAAAATATTCAGCGTCACTGGTCATTCGAGAGATGCAAATTAAAACAACATTGAGATTCCATCTCACCCCAGAAGACTGGCTATTGTCAAGCAATAACTAATGCTGGAGGGGCTGTGGGGAAAAGGAGCCCTTCTGCACTGTTGATGGCGTGTAGTCTGGTGCAACTGCTGTGGAAATCAGTGTGGAGATACCTTAAGAAACTAAAACTTGAGGTTCCATTTGACTCAGTTATTCCCCTTCTTGATATCTTCCTGAGATAATAAGAAGCATCCTACCACAATGGTATGTAGACACCTATGTTTATTTATAGCAGCACAGTTTGCAACAACTAAATCTTGGAAACATCCCAATGCCCATCAGCCAATGAATGGATAAAGAAGATGTGGTTTTTTTTATACAATGGAGTACTATAAAGAATGATAAGCTTGAGCCATTTCTAGGTAAATGGATGAGCCTTGAGATCATACTCTTAAGTGAAATAAATTTGACACACATGTAAATATTGCATTGTCTCTCTGATGTGAAATACTGAAAGGATTACTAAGGACCAAAATATGTAATGTTGTGAAGTGGGAAAAAATTATTCAAAAGGGAAAAGGAACAAGGGTGGGAGGAGGTGGAAAGGAAGGAAGAGGAAGAGAAAAGAAAAAAGAGAAAAGGATAAAAAGGAAACAGAACTTTGTAAATAAGGTAGGGAAGAGTTGAAGGGAGGGGAGAGGAATGGAAAGATAAAGACAAATCAAAATATATCATGGACAGCTACATATTCTGTATGATGAATGTGATCATTTTATATATATATCTGAATTATATCTATAAACTTAAAAAAAGAAAATTAAAATCTTAGGTCTTTGCATGATAAAGAAACTTTTGCAACAAAGTAGTCAAGGGAGAAAATATGGCATACAAAAAGTTCTATGTGTTTTAATGACTTTCATTCAAAATCATGTGCTATAATGTTTATCTTGGGTGATGCACACTCATCTTCTAAACTTTCTTGTAGTTGGATAAAATGATAAATTTGAATTCATGTTTTCTTTTATTCAAGGAGAATAAGGGAATCTAAAATAATTTTATAGATATTTGATAAAGAAATTTAAATATCTATGCTTATTTTGTTAATTTGTGTAATGCTTGACCTAAGTCCATGGAATGCTTTGTTTCTCTGATGCTTTTTAGTTTTTTCTGAGATGCTTTATCTCTTTGAGAAAGGGACTCTGCTCTTCTGTTTTTAGTAGAGCCTTCTAAAAGAATAGGTACTTTGTATCTCCACATTTCTATTTTTCCCCCTTGTTTCTCTGTTTAAAGATGAACCCAGAATATACTATATTCTTGTATAATAGTGTGGTATTGGTTTTGTGACAGAGAATTACTGGTTTTAAAAGCCTTTGAACACACTTTCAGGAAATGTCATAATTTTCCTGGCCTAATTACCTCATTTAAGTGGAAAATCATGAACTTACTTTGAATAAGTGGCTTCATATGGAACCAGATTTCTTAAAAATAGTGTGGTGTTTTCTGGTTCATTGTGCTTTTCAAATTAGCAAAGCTTGTGCCTCCCTGCCAGTCCTCAAACATGGCAATAAACACTTCTGCTTCAAGAATACTAGAGTCAATATATAGAAATCAGTTGGTTTTTTCTATATGTAAATAATGACATACAGTTGGAAATTGAAAGTGTATACCATTTATAAGAGCACTAAAACATGGAATACTTAGGGATAAATATAATGTCTGTAAAATTTTTATGCTGAAAGCTAAAACAGTAATCAAAGAAGACTTTTTTTGTGTGTTTGAAATGGGAGATCATTTTTTTGTGACTGGCCTTGAACTCATCTTTCTCCTGCCATTGCCTTCTAAGTAGAAGGATTACAGCTATATGCCACCATGCCAGGTTAAAGTAAACACTGTGGAGAATTACTGTATGCTTATCAGTTTGAAACTGTAGTGGGGCCAGCAGCTGTAGAGTATGTGCTTAGACTACTGAAGCCCTGGGTTCAATCCTTAGCACCAAAATCAAACAAACAAACAAGTTCTCTCCAATTGCTGTATATATTCAGTACCTATTTCAAATAAAAACCCCAGTATGCTCTTGGTAGAAGTCAAAGTGGCTATGGAATTTATATGGCAAAGCAGAAAATTAATATTAACCAAAAAAAATTATGAAGAGTATAGCTGGAAGACTCAAACTACCTGATGTTAGGAATTACTGTAAAGCCATAGTAATTAAGACTATTATATATGTGATAGAACAGACCCCTTGATTAATAGACCAGAATAGAGTCCAGACATAAATCCATAGCTTTATAGTTCATTAATTTTTAACATAGATGCTTAGGTAATTACATGGAAAACAGAAAGTTCTCATCTAATGTTGCTGGAACAACTCTATTATGTATGCACAAAACAAACAAAACCTTGGGCAATTCCTTGTACCATTATACAATCTAATACAAAATGAACCATGTATTATAATATAAAATCTAAAACTATTAAAACTTTTAGAAGAAAACTTAAGCAAAACTCTTTGTGGCCATGGATTAGCAAAGATTAGCACAAAAAAATCTGTCCATAAAATCAGTCCTTTTTAGCTGTATATTTTGGTAACTCAAAATACAAAGAATAGTCAGTGTCCGTAATAGAATCATCTAGTTTTTACAGTGGGCCAATGATTTTAATAAACTTTAGCAAAGAGGATGTATATAAAAACATGAAATAATATTAAAAACCATTAGTCAATAGGGAAATGTAACATAAAATCACAATGAAATGCCACTCCATGTTTAGAATGGCTGAAAAAAAAGCCTACTGACGGTATAGAGCAGTTGTAATTCTCATATGCACTGATGGATGAAAGTGCTTGATTATACAGCCACTTTGGAAAACCTTGGTAGTTTCTCGTAAAGTTAAACATATACTTACTATATGAATTTTTCTTCTAGGTATTTACTTATTGTATTAGTTAGGGTTTTAGTAGAGAAAACAGATACTACATGAGATACACAAATATATAAGAAATCACAAGAGTAGCTTATAGTGGTCAGCCACAGAGTCAGATGAGGAAGTATGCAGAGGGTGTCTACATACTGGAGGCCGAAGGATTCAATCCAAGGTCTGGAGCTCACCCTAGTGTCTTGCACAAGACTACACCAGCAGGCTGCTGAAGGCTGAACCAAGGATGAAGACTGGAGCTTTTCCAAAGAATGGAATGCATTTGTCCTTCCTCCTTCCCTATTGTACCTCCAGGTGATGAGCCACTCTAGGGTGGGTCTTCTACACCCCTGGGTGTAGTTGCTAAACCTGTTTAGTTAAGCTTCCAAATGTCTCAAGTTGACATATTCAATCAACCACTACGCTTAAGAAAAGATGGTATATACCCACACAGATATCTGTATGTATATACATAGCTTTGTGTATGGTAGTAGCTTTATCTAACTGAGCACTGAAACAACACAAATGTGCATTAAATGGCAAATGAGTAAAGAAGTTACTATTTATATGATGCAATATTCCTGCACGCAAAGGAAAATTGAAAGAAAATCCTCTAATATCACTTGCTTTTAATTACTTTTATGGATTTAAAAAATCACATGGAGATCATGTAATTGAGCAGTGTCTTTTAGTTTCTTACTAGGTTTTCTGTATAAGGACTGATAAAAAATTTAGGACGTATTTAAATTAAAAAGTTATTTCAGTAAAAGACAACAATCGCCCTCAGAATAGTCTCCCTCACTTTGTACACACTTAATCTCATCATTCATGCCACTTTCTGAAGCAGTTCTGGAAGTCCTCTGTTGTATCTTTACGAGATGTCAAACATAGGTAAATGTGGCTGCCAAGTGCCATCTAGTGGAAAGGCAGGCTGTAAAAGCGTTACAGACCTGGCACAATGTGGTGATGGCTCTTCCTCAAAGTTAAAATGATCAGCAGATGAATGTTTTTGAATCAGTTCAGGACACTGAGGCAGGCAAAACAGCTCAACTAAAGACATTTAGGAGAAAGGACTTTCAGAGCTGTTTTGGAAATAGTAAGAATGATGGGATAAGTGTGTTTGATGTAAGGTGTATTTTGGGGGAATTAATGGCAATGTGTGTTTTACTGTAATAAATATTTAAAAATTTAAGCATTCCCCCTTTTTCTATAATGCATCTGATGGCTAGGTTAATACTAGAGGGTTAATGCTGGGGACTCTGTTTATAATTCTTCTCTGGCTTTAACTTTTTGTAACTTCAAGGAAAGGAAAATTACCATTTGCTTAATCAGTGAGTTTTATTTCAACAGTTCAAGCTCTGGTCTAACAGCTTGCTTTTAAAAATTTGCTGTTTTCAGACTTCCTAGGACAAACTATGGAAGCCTTTACTCCATTGTTTTATAATAGATGTTGAAATTAATTTTGTGGGTTTTTTTTTCCTGGTTGAGTTATAGAAGCAGTAAATTGCTGAAGACATAATTAAGAAACAGTGTGATAGTTCCTTATTCTCTTGTTTTCTTTCTTGAAGATTTTTTCTTTTATAACCCATCTTTTTGTTGATGCTGTTAATCACATTTGAACAATTTGTAAAGGTTGCTGGCACATTGGATACTGCTGGAAATGTAGGTCTTAATGAAGGTGCTGAGGCAAATTTTACAAATCCAAAATATTTCAGTTTCAGCCCAGATAGTTTCAACCTCAAAAGATAAATCAGTAACTTGTTTTTAGTTTAACTAATTTAGTTTTGCATTGTTGAGGATAGAGCAGGGCCTCCATGATAGGCAAACACTCTATTGTTGAGCTATAACAGCAGCCCCAATAACTTGTATTTTAAGTTAATGCTTTTTCTTCCTAGAGCTGGTTTATTTGTAAGCATGGGAGACCAAATGTCTTCTCTCAGGATTGAAGAAAAAAACTGATCTCTCAAGATCTTTTGTTCTGTCTTCATCAGTGGTGTATAACAAGATTTATGGTCTCAGGCAAGATTCAGACTGAGACATTTTATTGTAGTAGTGTTGTGGAAACTCAGAAGAAAGCTCTTTGGAGTAGTTTATGGGGAATGTCCTTTACTAATTCTTTTTTATTTGTGGGGGAGGCTGTATAAGGAAATAGTATATAGCACATTGAATTCTGAATTTTAGGGATTTTTAGGGTCCCTGATGTACTTAAAGTTCTAATATTTGGTCCTCTTGTTGACTTGAATCCTCTTCAGTTTCAAGATGTTCAGTTTAATAGCATCTTGAAACATTAAGAACATCCAGAGCATGTTTAAACACAGGAGGACAGGGTGGGGCTGTTTTTCTGTGACATTTTATTATGCTAACTTTTTAAAAAGAATATTTTCTAATTAATCACACTAAGGATTTGCACAGCTTTTCCTTCTATGATATTTGTGGAGTGTTTTATTTCAACATATTTGGCACACTAATAAAGTATATCAATACATTTTAAGCTTCACTTCATTTCCCTGTCTTAAAGTTGTAACAGAAACAAGTTTTCAACTGACATATGATGTATTTTTACTAGTTAATTGAAATGTTTTCATAATTACCTAATTTCTTAAGACTTCACATGCATGGCTTCTAAAAGTGTAGGTAATAGAGAATAACATTTATCTCTAGTCCCTGGATGTAACTGTGATGCCAGATCTTACCTAGATATTAGATATGTTTTACCTGTCCTACTTATTTTATCTAAAAGACTGCTTCAGTATGGGTAAACTCTTGCAGATTTGATAGGGGCAAACTTGTACTTTGTTAATTGCATTCAAATAAGTAAGCATTTACTTGTGTATAATAGACAAAGAAAGATTTAAAAACATACACATTGGATTTGTTAAGGGAGACAAACCATTGCCTAGAGAATGTATGGTAGAGACAGCTTTGACAGACTTACCAACAAGGGATTTTGCTGCTAGTTAGACTCCCCGAAACCCAACATACTCCACTGTTGTGCAGTCCTGTATTATAGCCCTTCTCCCCTACCAAGAAAAAAATCACTTGTACCATTACAACAGACTTGTTTGTACCAACATCTTAGGTTTCTTGTTCATTTTTTTTTTATTTAGAGAAAAAAAGCAAAACAGTAAAAAGGGTAAAAATAATACAGAATTTTTTTTTTTTTGTCTTTTTCCTTTTTATCCATACCGGGGATTGAACTCATGACCACCTGCTTGCAAGGCAGGTGCTTATGCCGCTGAGCTAAATCTCCAGCCCCAGTACAGAATTTTTTAAAAAGTAAGAAATCACTAGTTGATAAATTATATAATGTTAGAAGTAGTTGCTCAAGTTACAAAATCAAAGCATAAAAAGTGAACAATCACAACGACAGTACAAACCATTCTGTTTGATGAACTAACAGAAATTTAGTGTTATGGTTATCTGTCTTGCACACTTTCACTTGCACACTTACACATCCTCTGGAGCACCTTGTTTCCCTTTCATTATCACAGTATCTGTTACACATTTTGGATCTTATTACTCTTTCAGTTTTTATTATTTTATACTAGAGAGACAATATGATATGTACAAATGTGAGTCTGATTGATTTATTTATTTCACTTATGAGGATAGCCTTAAGTTGCCTCTATTTACCTAGAAGAGCCTCAAGATCATCCTTTTTGAGGCTGGAGGTTTAGCTCAGCGGCATAAGCACCTGCCTTGCAAGCAGGCGGTCTTGAGTTCGATCCCCGGTACCGATAAAAAGGAAAAAGACCAAAAAAAAAAAATCATCCTTTTTTATAGCTGAGGCTTCTTCTGTGTACTTGCTGAACAGAAAGCGTTGTCTTTTTGATCGCACTGGTTATCTAAGTGGGGCATGCATTTGGTAGAAGATGGCACATTGGAATATAGGCATTAAACTTTAGAAATAACCACTTTGAATGAAACAAAAATATTTCTCCCTAAAGTACCAGAGGATTGCTAAGTTAAAGACAAGAGTTAAAACACAGGATGAGTCTACCTTTCCTTCATTTGTCTAAAATCAGGACGGATAGGTATTAGATGACAGTCTTTCTACCCCTTCTTCCTTCTCCTTCCTAATGACAGAATGCCACTTTTCCTTCAGGGGACGCAGTCTTTGTCACTTCAGAGATGAACACAGTCTGCACTAGAGGAATCTATGAGCAGAAGTTGTCCTTAGTGCCTTCCTATGGGCTGATGTTCCAAACTGCTCTCTTTGTTGTCTTTTTACTCTTCTGAAGTTTATTGCTCTTCGTTGAAACATTAAGACAGTGTTCCAAGCCATTACTATGAGGGAGTTGTTTTTTCTTCTGTATAATGACTGTTCTCTTGTTAATCAGTTTTTTTTTTTTTTTGGTTAAGGAATCAATCCTAATTTATGAGGGTAGGAAAAATTACATGTTTTCCCATTCAATTTTTTACCTTATACTCATTTCTATTTTATGTAAGTTTTAAATATCTATCTATCTGTCTATCTATGTGTCTGTCTATCCATCTAGAATGGTTTAGGACATCTGGCATATTCATGTGTTTAATAGAAAATCTACTTATATCAGGAATAATTTTGTTTTGATGTATGATTAGTAGTGGTAACCACTATTTTAGGTCACAGAATTTCAGGCAAGTAAATAAAACTCATTTTTATGTCAGTGGAGACCTAGTTTTAGTTTGTTTTATTTTTTTGCTGGGGGAAGGGTTGTGTTGTTGAAGACAGGTTTTTGTTATGTAGCCAGGCTGGGCTTGAACTTGTGATCCTTCTGCTTCACTCTGTCAGGTGCTGGAGCAACAGGAGAGCACCACCGTCCAAGTGGAGACCTGTTTCTTAAATTCTTACTGTGCTAAACAGTACTTGAAAGATAGTACTTTCTCAAGAATTTTGGATTAGAATTTTCTTCTAGAATCAAATAGATCTGGGTTAGAACTCAGACTCTTCTACTCACTACCTGTAAAGCTATGCTTATTTACTTTTCTGTTTCCCAGTTTCTTAATATATAAAAATAATCAAAATAGTAATGCCCACCTTCAAATAGTGGCATTGTGCCCATTTTTCAATAGATCCTTAGAGAAGTTAGAAGGTATTTTTTAGGAGTGGAGGCATATTTCTTTGATACTAGAAATTGGTTGTGCTCTTCGTAATGAGCCTCACATATAGCTTAAATAATTAACTATAAAAGCTGTAATGGGTACTTTTCTCTAATATTTAACACTTAAAATTTACATACCAGAAAATTTTATGAACTCAATTTCAGCAGCAGTTATATTTTGATTCCCACTTGTTTCTTCTAGGATTTTCAGATGCTGATGAGGTCAGTTTCAATTTTACTGTATTATCTGGATCAGATATTAGAGAAGTTTTTTTGCAGGGGACCAAGTAGTAATATTTTAGGCCTTATGGACTATATGATTTCTCTGGCAGCTAAGGTTTGCTACAGATAATTTATAAACAAATATGGTTGTGGTTTAGTAAAACTTTGTTGTAAAAGCAGATGGAGAGGGAATTTAGCTCAGTAGTATAAGTGCTTGCCTGGCAAGTGCTAGGTCATAAGTTTGATCCCCAGTACCAAAAAACAAAACAAAACAGATGGAGAGCTGGCTTTGACCCATGGCCCATAATTTGCCCACCTCTGGTATAGACCCTTAAACTCAGGACTAAGGCTAATGCTACAATAAGCCTAAAATAAGGAATTAGGAAGAAGGATAGGAGAGCAGTCTGCTTACAAGGACAGTGTTTTCTCATGTTGGTTTAAGGCATTGATACCTTTTAAAGGCAAATAATTTTCTCATGAACACTCATGATTGACTTCAGTGTTATTATCTCAGAATAGTACATAATTATAAGATTAGCTAATAATCCTAATAAACCATGCTTATAAAACCATATGTGAATTACATTTATAAGCAATATAATAATGATGAAATTAATTATGCTAACTTAATGTTATACATAGCAACTTGTTAAACTGCATTATTGCTTGTAACATACATATATGAACACTTTTTTGAATGAGGTATATAGCCCTACTGTAGTTCATGGGATGACTCAGTTTTCCCTCTTCTTTTCTCTGTTTGAGCTACTATAAAACCTCTTCTGTTTGGGAAAGGTGACATCATTTGTCCCTGGGTAGCATGAATGCAATTAAATTTCAAGTCTGCCATTGCTCTTTTCTCCATTAGTCTCTGACAATGAAGAAGATTGATGCCACATGACTGAACACTACTATATTAGTATCTTCTGGAAGTTTTCAAATATAGAATACTAATATTTTGAGGACATTGCTAAAATTAAAATATAAAATTAAAAATTTCTCAGAATTTTTAGTTTGAGGAAGATAGTTGTAGAAGTCTGATAGAATCTTTTCCTGAAGCTCATGGAGCAGACCTAAGAGACGCTGTGTTTTTGGGGCAGAAGTTTTGTCTTTTTAAAGTGTGTTCACACTAGTAATGAAAAAGTAGGTTTTGAAACTGTGTAAAGATATTTGATGGAAACAATTTAAGAAAAGAATTAAAATATTGCTTGCATTAAGTTATATCACCTCTTATTATTGACTTCTAACTACCACGTGCAGAACAATAATTATGCATGTTGCAAATTATGTGTCTGATTAAAATAATAGGATTAACTTTCTAGAGAGACCTTTCAAGATAATTTAGATTAACCCCTTCCTTTCACTGATGGCACTGACCTGACTTGTTCAAGGACACATAGCATAGGAGACAACAAAAGTGTGTAGAATGCAAAGACATCAGAATGCCTGTTTCTGCAGCAAAATTATCTTTTTTCTGAGACAGAATGATAATGAATTATAAACTTCTTAAAGACAAGATTGTGTCTTTTATTTTGATGACTTCTAGCTCCTAATATTGTGTATAAATAATATTTGAAAGTATCCACAACAGTTAATAAAATTATAGCTAAGGCTTATAAAAATATATTATTTTATATCTCATCTATGTGTGGTCTTTTTAGAACATGATTTGAATATTTTATGCTTATGGGTGAAGTTCTTGCTTTTTTATTTTTTAATTTAAGTCCTTGCTTAGGCTAGCTTTAAACTTGTGATCTTTTTGCTTCAGCTTCCCCAATTCTGGGATTACAGGCATGCTTGATTGATCTGCATTCCTTTTGTTTGTCTTGCTTTGTTTTTCATCCTAGAATTTTATTAGCTATTGCAATAAAAGAGAATGAAAATACATTGGTTGAACAGTATGACTTTAACCTTTGGATGGTTTTTTGAAAATATGTTCACTGGTATTTTGAACATGCAAATAAAGACGGGGAAAATGCCAATATCTAATTTTTTACTATTTCAGAAAATTCAAACTAATTTCAATCATTGGTATATGGACGATATTAAATGTTGGTACCTTTCTCTGTGTTTCTACCTCCTTCATTTTAATATCCTTGCTTTGCCTGCCATCACTTTGGTACATATTCTCTTGCTCTCTGGCTCCTTTATAAGACTGTTAAGCAAAGATAAGCTGATTGGGGCTATTTTTAATTTATGGATTGCAAGCCTGATTATTTTATTGGATAGGTCTTATTTCCAGGGAAACAGAAAATGTTGTGTCAAGAAAAATTTGGGTGTATTATTTATCTCCATATGAAGGAAAAGACTTACTTTTGTTGAAAATTGTTAAAATCCAAATTATTTTACTAAGATATGATTGTACTAGTTTTTCTGTTGTTGCTATCTTTGTTCTTGATCATGTATGTGCCTGTTGAGAGTATACATTGCTTTAATTTATTGCTTATCTATGTTTCTTCTGAAATAGTAATGTTTGAAATAGTTTTTTTATATTTAAAGCTCTTTAGAAACATGATTTAAAATGTTTTTCACTTTGCTATTTTTAAGATATAAAGATTTAAAGTTATTTAAAATTTTTTTTTATTTTTAAATAGATTAAGACACAAGAGGACATAACAAAGCAGATCAGATCAGAATAATGTAAGCAACACAGTATTTCACCACAAGACAACCCGTAGTTAACAGTAACTGCCGTAGTGTCTCTTTCTTTGAAATAGTTGAGCATAACTTCATATACAGTAGTATCAAACATAACAAAATAGTATAAAACGATTTAAGAGCATGAAAGTATTACAGGACATTCAGAACCAAATAACAGAGAACAAACAATGGCTACTATATTATCTCATTTTCCATAGAAAATTTGTTTATACTATCACACATAATAAAATCTAATAAAATACAATATGATAGAACCAATGGAAATAGAAGAAAAATAGCGTGGTAGGACTTCATAGTAAGATAATATTAAATCAGCACTGGCTATTATAATGTCTTGCTTTCTTCAAAATAGCTGTTCATACTATCACAGATAATAAAATCAAACAAACCAGGGTAAAACTATTCCAACTAATGAATGCAAATATTATAAGGCTTTAAAGCAATGTAATGGGGAATCATGATTACCATAAACTGTTATGTCATCTTACCATTTCTTACACTAGGGAGACTATGTGGTATTTATACATGTGAGTTTGATTTATTTTGCTTATGATGAATAGGGTCTCAAGTTGTGTCCATTTATTTATAAATATCTCAGTGTGATCATTCTTTATAGCTGAGTAGTACTCCATTGTATAAAAATACCACATCTTTTTTATCCATTCCCCAGTTGATGGACACTCAGGTTGTTTCCAAGATCTGGCTATTACAAATTGTGCTGCTGTAAACATGGGTGCACATATGTCACTGTGGTATGATGTTTTCAGTTCTTCTGGTAATATGCCTAGAAGTGGAATAGCTGGGTTGAATGGGACTTCCAATCCTAGGTTTTTGAGGAATCTCCAGACTGACCTCCACAGTAGTTGCACCAGTCTACACTCCCACCAACAATGCAGGAGAGTTCCTTTTTTCCACAGCCTCTCCAGCTGGTGGTTTTCTTGATCCTGGCCATTCTTTCTGCAGTGAGATGGAATCTCAGTGTAGTTTTAATTTGCATTTCTCTAATTACCAATGATGATGAACATTTTTTCATGTATTTATTTGCCATTTGTATTTCTTCATCTGAGAACTGTGTAAAAATATGGAACACTTCACAAATTTGCGTGTCATCCTTGCGCAGGGGCCATGCTAATCTTCTCTGTATCGTTCCAGTTTTAGTATATGTGCTGCCGAAGCAAGCACAAGATTTTAAGTTATTAATCTGAAAAAAATTTTGTTTTTAAGTGAGGGAAATACAAGATTAAAGTTTTTATTGTAATTTGATAAAATTATAAAAATATTTTTTTCCTCACAATTTAATGATAAACTTCATATTAACCAGGATTTTCTTTCCTCTTTCCTTGGTAGACTTATCATGCTATGTGGGTTTAATCATACAGGATTATATTTTATTTTATATCTTAATAGTATTTAAAATTTTTCAAATGGGAAAGCCAATTAATTTAAGATTCCATGAAGTAAAGTTACAGTATTATGTTTAATTTGTGATATGAGGAAAAAGAGTATGTATACCCAATTTTGACATTTGATCTTGTCACAAACATGGATATTTGGAACTTGCATTTTTGAAAGCCTAATGAAGTTGCTACTCTGATAAAATAGAAATCTTAGAATCCCTATGTATACATATGACACTAAAACTCTTAAATTATATTTTGCTCTATGTAACATTATTATATGACTTTTCCAGAAATCATGTAATTTGCCCTGATTACTTCCATAATAATTACTAAAAGCAAGCACTTTAGCACTTCAGTGATAAGTTATCTACAGTATTTTTCTTTACGATAAGTGCCTTCTGTTACTCATTCACATTTTAAATCATATTGTTTAAAGCTATCCTATATTCATCTAGAGGCTGCAACTCATACTATTCCTTTATTTCATCAATTAGTAACAATATTTCTAGAAAAATTATTTTTTCTTTTGTGAAACTCTTTATGCCTTCTGAAACTTTTATTGCTTTCTGAAGCAAAGAGCCAGAAATAATCAAAGTGTTAATGAGGAGGTGATTGGTTAAATTAGTTCTATTATATCCATACAAAATTATATAATGCCATTGTTAACATGAGGGAGATTACCCAAAGTTACATTCGCAGTTTGTAGAGGAAAGGGTTAACTCAGCTGATTGAAATAGATTGTCTGAATCTTGTGTATCCTTCCAACAAATCTTCTAAGTCAAAGAGTAATCTTGGAAACCATTGATAACAAGAACACTAACAGATGTGTAAAAATATCTATGATCATTTTATTATGTTTATATTTATATAAAATTTAACATATTTATGATATTATATTTGACAATTCATATGTATATGAGGTATTAGGTGATGATATATTAGTTACATTTTTCATTTGGTCAAAACTGGCAAGATTTAGTTAACATTAGCCTTAGTTCATTTGTTTTGATAGTTGTACTGTGCTCAGTAATTTAGGAGGCCAAGAAGTATAGGAGAACTCTACTCTTTTTGTAACTTTGTGGTAAATCAAAAGTTATTTCAAAAGAAAAAGTAAAACAAAACACAAAAAGCAATAAGGCAGGTACTTTTATGTGCCGGGGTTGGCTCTGAAGCTCATAAAGAAACTGCACTGGTTTTATCTGGAGAAAGGGACATAGTTTTGATACACTGGCCCTCTTCTGTGTAGTCATCTGTCCTAAAGATGATATCTAATATGGTACCTTTCCAGTTTAAAGATTGTGCTACTTCTTTTAGCAAGCTTTCTTGATTTTTTTTCTTTTCTTTTTTGAGACAGAGTCTCACTATGTAGTACAGACTGGTCTCAAACTTGCTTAAGTAGTCCAGGGTAGCCTCGAACTCCTGGAAATCCTCCTGCCTCAGCCTTCTGGGTGGTGGAATTACATGGGTGCACCACCACACCCAGAAAGGTCAAGCTATATAGTTCAGACTGGCCTTGAGCTCACTATGTAGTCCAAATTGGCTTTGAGGCAGTCCTTCTGCCTTAGCCTCCCAAGTGCTGGAATTTAGGCATGTACTACTGTGCCTAACTTTGCTCCTCTTTCAAACTTTATTTAGCAAGTAGTTACTTCCTATCCTTAGTCCTAACTCCCTGTGTCTTAGTGGTTAAGAATATACAGTATAGACTTTGGAGAAGATGTTGATTTTAGTCATAACCTCACTATTGCAAATTTTATGACCTTGAGTAAGTTATTTATTTCAGCTCTCTTAGTTCCTTTGTTTGAAAAGTAGGAGTAGTAATATCTGACTCATGGGGGTGTGGGTATTAAATGAGATAATGTCTGTAATGTTCTTTACACAATGTTTGGTGCATTCTGTAAAAGTTAGCCATTAATTATTAATTTTAGTAGTTATTCCATTCCAGATGCCTACTGTATATTTTCTTTCCCCTCCTAAATTATTTTTACAAGGTTGCAAGTACTTCAAAAGGGGGAAAATCATGTTTTATTCACTGTTGTCTGTCTTTTTTTCTTTCTTCCTTTCTTTTTGATGGCTGCTATTATTACCTGAATCTTCTTATCCTTGGTTCTTTCTTCTCTGGATTTCAGAATCTCTTTCTTTTTCCTTTTTAATTCCACTCTCAGCAGTTGTATCTAAAGCTCTACATTAGGTGCCATGAGATCATAAAGATGAATAAGACTTAGTGTTTTCCCTTTAGGCTTCTATAAATAGGTTAATTGTAGAGACAAATAGCTCTCTCTGCTATAAAGGAGAATAAGTCTATGATTCTTTTTTCTATTTCTAACAGATACGTAAGTAGCCTAGTACCTTCCTTTCTGTTCTTTACTTGGGACTACAGATTACACAAAGAAAAATAAAGAAGTAGCACAGACCTTTATAGTATACCTTAAACCCTTTATCATGTCTAACCTCGACCTTACTATCCTATTCTTATTCAGAAAGAGACTGCTCTTTTGGAAACAGGTACTGGTTAAACTGATAAAGCACAGCATTATTCTAAAATTGTTTTGCTAAAAAAGGTTAGAAGTGAAAGGGTCGTGGCTTTTAGTTTTTAGCATTATACTACATTTATTACATACCGCCTTGACATGCTATAGGATTTTCAGATTGTAGATTTTAAGATTGGGACTAAGTGGCAATCTTCAGTTTTCAGTAAGAATAGGGATGCAGGGAAATGAGGTGCTTTATCTGAAACAGCTCAAGAAATTATTTAGATCATTGAATAATACAGTTTGTCACTTTTATCCTGGATTTTTATTGCTATATCTTCAAATTGATCTGTTTCTTGATAATTGCCTTTCAGATAATTTTCCAAAAGTGTATCTTATTACATTCCTCTGCTTAGAAGTATCATAAAGTACCATGTTATTTATAGAACAAGCCTGCAAGACTGTAAGCACAGAATTGTATCCTTTGTTTTTTTTTGGTACTGGGAATTAAGCTCAGAACCTTATGCTTGCTGTGCTGCTGAGCTTTTGCTAGGCCAAGCGTATACACTTAGTAGGCCTCTAATTAATACTCTTTGTTGATTGATCTCATCTAAATTTGTGATATGATATTCAGGAATTCCCTTCTTCTTAACTCTTACCTATTCCTATTTGTCTTGTCTGTGCAAGTGTTACCAGGTAGTCTCCTTCTAAAAGTGGCTGGACAAATAAACATTACTGGGTTTTGTAGTGGTTGTGTCTCCTTCTGGAGTTGGATTCCAGGTTCTTTTCATCTTGAACAAATAATTAAATGAAATGAGCAAAAAATGGTGACAAAGTTTATTTGAAAAACTAAAAGTGAAAAGTGAGGGATGAACTGGCTTTTCAAAATGAGTTTAGGCCAAAATGGGGAGAAAAAGTAAGATAAAAGTACACCCTGGAGGACACAAGGCAGGCTGTCAGGAGGAAAGCTGCTATAGCGAGCTTTTCTTGTTGTCTGTGTCTTTTTAGGCAATCTACTTCATGAGGAAACTTTCAAGAACTTCTACTTGGGGGTCCTGAGAATAGTGCTAATAGTCAAAGCCGTACCTATGTCCTGATCAGCTTCTGATCTACCTCTGCCTCCCTGTTTTTCTAAAGAAGAAGGTGATATCCTCCTATTATGGCTCACTGTTTAAATTATATTCAAATAAACAGTTTAAAATACAAGTTGGGAGGCTTTCAGGAAGACAGTGGGATGGTGAGTGGCAACAAACCAGCTTTTCCAAGATTAGGAGAACAGATATGCTGGAGCATAGCAACTTGGGGAAGAGAAGGAGGAGGGAGCTATATTATCAAGACCCAGGAAAGATCCGAAGGGAGAATCAGCTTGTGGGGAGAGTGAGCTGGTGAAACTCCATGCAGAAAAGGGAGGTGGCAAACTGCACTTACTGACTTATACTCATGGTGTGAAAGCGGAGGCTCCAGCCTGCAGAAGTGCAGTGATGGAAGAACCCCCAGTGGTGTGGAGCAGTGGATGTTGTGGGTTGCAGCAGCTGGTAAGTGACTCCAGTGCACAGTTCCCCTGGAGTGGGTCATTGACTGGATTCCCTGTTGGGATGGAGCTTGCTGAACTCAGCACTTGGAACAACAGTGAGTTGGCTTCATCTTGGGCCTCCCAGAGTCTGGATAAGGCGTAGTGCTGGGAGACAACTAGGGTTGGGGAGCCAGTGTCTAACGGCTAGACACGCCCATGGTGTAGTGCACGGAGTAAATTGGGTCACAGGCTCCCAACCAGTGATCAGAATCAGCCTGAACTTCTGAGGAGTTGAATTAGCATCCTGCCTTAATTCTACTGCAGGCCTGTTGGGATCATACAGTACAGATCTGGGTTCTGTCTGCCTCATTTGTCTATCAGTGACAGCGCAAACATCCCGTGAAGTGGACACTACTACAAAGCCGTAGACCCCGGAAGAGAAATGTAGGCTTGAAATCACAGAGAAATCTCTCTGCCTTTATCTTAGATATATATTCTTGTTTTTTCATGAGTGTGAATATTATTTTTCTTTTGGTTTTGTTCTTATTTTTTTTTTCTTTTCTCTTTCTCTCCTGTTTTTTTTTCACCAGTTTCCAAAAACTTATTGTCCTTCAACCTTGCTTCTAATCTCTTTCCCTTCTATTTCTCTATTTTTTCTTGTGTCTCTTTTTAACTTTTCTCCTCAAAGGATAAAATTGCTCAATTGAGGGGCTATTTACTGTATATAATTTTCTAGCTTATTTCAGGTATTTTTATATAACCACAAATATAGTTCATATGGTTAAAGGTGGCAAATTAATAGTTACCGCAGTTGTCATTTTTTTAAGCTGTGTGATAAGGCTGAGATTGTCTGAGGGTCACAAACAATACCAGAGTCCAAAGAACCAGTGGCTAGACCAAATAGGTAGCAACTTCTCATCCCTGATAAATCGAAGAGGTAGGATCTTATTCAAAAGCCAAAAGTCAGCTATACCTGAAACACATCTCTAAATAGCAGTCATTTCATAAGGAGTTCTCAGTATTAGTCATGAAGCTGCTTACCGTAAGCAGTTTATAAGCATCAATGCAAAAAATAAAATTTGAAAAAGCAGAAAATGAGAAGACACAGAAACAAGATGCAAGCCCAGTCCTCCATTTTGCCAAAAGCAAGTCCAGGGGTGGTGAGTTAGAACAAATAAAAAGTAACCCACCTGGATTCTCCGAAATGGGAACAGCGAAAGTGACAAAGCAGGTAAATGAGGTTCTGGAGAAAAAAAATCAGAACTAATTGCAGTTTAGGAAAGATGATGACTATAGCGAAGGATATGATTAGTGAATCTAGAGGAGATATAAATTTAAAAATAGAGATTAGGAAAGTGATGGAAACCATGAATGCCAAACCGAGGAAAGAAAGAAAACAAATTCAAACAGATATCCAGGAGATTAAAAATTCTATTGAAAGTATATGCAGCAGAGTCAACCAATATGAAGAGAGAATATCAGATCTAAAATACGGAATTGTGCTTAGTGATCATCAAATGAAAGACTTCGTAAAAATAGCCACTGACTATGAAAACTCAATCCAGCAGATGGGTCCAATCCAACTTGCTGCCTCCTCCTCTTCCTGGTGTTGCTATATTCCAGCGCCTGTGTAGCAACTCTCAGAGAGGTTCTCTCTGCTGCTTACTATTCTGCCATCTTCCAGGAAGTCCCCTAAGAAATTTTTAAAGCATGTAAAATTGCAATGGCAAAATGTGTGAGGACTTCTGGTTCAGAGAATAGAGGAGAAAATAGACAGGAAGCAAAAGTTTATCACAGTGATCCAGGCATGAGGTAATAAGAATTTAAAGTTGAGTTACAACAAGAGAAAATGTTTATAATACTAGTAAGAGCTTGTAAGAAATCTATCAAGGAGTTTAATGTGAAAAAATATACATAATAAGATTTTCTTGGGGCTGGGGATTTAGCTCAGCAGTATAAGCGCCTGCCTTGAAAGCAGGCAGTTGTGAGTTCGATCCCTGGTACTGTTAAAAAGGAAAAAGACCAAAAAAAAAAAAATTTTTTTTTTTCTCTATTTTCAGTTGGGCAGGCTTTAGCTTAAGGTTTACAATAAGAAATAATTATTTTTGCTCAGTAAAGGGATGAATACCTGTAATCCCAATCATTTGCGATGCTGAGGCAGGAGAATCACAAGTTCAAGGCCTATGAAATTCACTGAGACTCTGTCTCAGAAAAAAAATAAATAAAAAGGGCTGGTAAGGTAGCTGAGCCCGTCTCTAGGTTTAATTTTCAGAACTGTTGAAAAAAATATTTCTGTAAAACTTAAGGTTAATCACGGAGTATAATTTTTATGGAAACTTTTTCCCCTTAAATTGTTTTAGGCTTTAACTTACTTTGAAATTATAGGCTAAGATATCCGTGGTGAACAGTATGTACCCACGAATATAAATAAGAGCCAACATTAAAAGCTAGCTAAACATTAAAAAAAATCATATTGCATGGAGTAGATAGTAAAAGTAAATTATATTTTTAAAATAATTGCTGCTATTATTATTTATACTTTGTTATTACTCACTTTTCAACTCTTATGGTTAGTGTTGATATCCATTATTATTTATATTTCCTTAGATTAGTGTCATGAGATATTTGCACAGTGGTGAGGAGTATATAGAAATCAAATTTTAAGTTGAAAAGCATAGAACTGTGTCTGGAGATAGTCTTACAATAGACATTTATTGTAAGACATTTATTGCATTACTCTGAAATAATAATTCTACTTTTACAATTTTAGTGTTGAGGAAAAGAATACTTATGAAATAGTTAGCCCAACCTGTAAAACCTATCTTCACATTCCTTTGGTCTCCATTTTTAAAAAAATGTCTCATCTGCTAGCAAAGTATAGATGTTTGTCTTTACTTACCGTTTACTGATGAGGAGGGCTTTTAATGGAAAGCACTATGTTTCATGAGAACAGGAGTTATGTGAGGTGGAACAATACTTGGAAACACATCACACGGTCCATAATTTCACTATCCTTTCAGGGGTTTCTCTTGTAATTTATATGACTTTGATTTTTGTTTAAACTAAATAGTTGATGTTTGGCAGTGTATATGACCAAATCTCATAGAGATTTTTGTACAAGTTGTTTCTCTGTTATTTGAGGAAAACAATTCTTCAAAACTCAGGTTTATTGAAATGTAATTTGCATACCATAAAATTCACCCTCAGAGGAAGTTTTGCTACCATGGAAAGATTAACAGATTTAAGACTGTCAAGTTTCTTCATCCATTGATTTATTCATTTATATTCTTATAATATGAATTTGTTATATACCTTTTAGACTACTGTAACCCAGTTAATACTATTATTCTTATAGTTTTGTGTACTCTGAAACAATAAACATCTTTGTCTTATTTTGATGAAATATTTTGAAATTCTATAATTCTGTGATTATTACTACAGGGTTAGGCCTTGTGCATGTTAAGCGAATGCTTTGTCATTGAAATATATGCACAGCACTTTCTAAATACAGAATCTTGCAGATGAAAAACCTTAGAAAAGTAACTTACAGAATATAGAAAGGTATTAAATCCTGACATAATGGGATTTCAAAGTCAGGAAAAGATGATTCGGTGAGTTTGGCTGCATATAGACAACATTGCTGAAATGAAGAGAAGAAAAATACATATGTATTGCTTATTGTTGATAACTTATGAAGCATTTGCTATTGCTTTTTTCCTAATGGACTTATGATTGTTTTCTATATCTTTCTATTTCCATGTAACCAATATGCATCAAAAAACGCTGATCACACTGTCAGTCTGGGAATGGGTCTGATTGAGCCAAGGATAACTGATTGCCCTTTTGCCACTCAGTTTGCAGGACGTGACCAAGGAAGCATGTAGCTCAGATGACTATCAAGTCCTTGATGACATTAACAAAGAGACTTGTCTTTGCTTTGCAGATATGTTAATCTTTGTATTTTCTTATAGTGTGAGTTTTTGGGATTGACGCTGTATTCCATGGATTGGCAGCATTGATATCACCTAGGAGTGTCTTGGAATTTCAGAACTGTTAGTCCAACCAAATCAGGATCTCTATTTTGATAGACTGTCCAATGATTTCTGTGAGCACAAAAGCATCAGAAGTGATATTTTAAAACCACATTGATTGTATTTTTATTTACTTGCAACTAAAGCATTCTGATATAACATTACTTTTTTGTTTTTTGGTACCAGGGATTGAATTCATAACCCCATGCTTACCAGGCAGGCACTTACACCGCTGAGCTAAATCCCTAGCTCTCATTCTGCATTTTTAACCTTGAGGGGTTACAGTCTTCCCCATGCAGGTCATATGTAGAAATATGGTGTGGGGGGTTCTTAATATGATAAAAATAGCACTTATTGGATCCATAATATAGACTTTTAAAAGCTTTTCACTTGCTGCTTTATAGTTCTTCTGGATTTTTTAAATAGTTGTTTTTAGACGAGGCCTAAAACTATAGTACTTATACTTGTGTTCCAAAAGACCTACTGTTATTTTTGTCAAGTCAGGAGATGTGAGCTTAGCTGTTATGGTTCAGTCATCTTTGAGAATTGGATTTTACTTCCCTTAGGAATACTGCTTCCTACTCACTCCTCAGCTTCATTGCTATTTTAGTTAGATGAGAGTTTGTACTGCACGTTTGTCCAGAATCGTTAATGTCTAGGGAGCAACTGTGAGCTGCTGCCTTTGTAGACCAGATGTGCATTTGAGGCCCATGAATAGAGAAAAGAGCTTCATTCCCTGCTGAATCTTTATTCATGAAGGCAAAAAATAGCATGAATACAGTAAATCCACCAGCAGTGTAGGAATTTTGAAAACTTGTTTTCTTCTACTCTCTATACAGTTAGATGCCACATTCTTTTTTTTTTTTTTTTTTTTTTTGGTACCAGGAATCCAACTCAGAACCTTATGCTTGTGAGGCAGGCTCTTATGCTGCTGAGCTATATACTCGGCCCTAGATGCCACATTCTAAAAATAAAATAACGCCCCATATTTTGAAACTATTTTGTTTGTCTATCATTAAAGAGGTCAAATTAGATGATTCAGTTCACAAATTATACTGTCATTCTGTAATCTATTTATAATGAACTGTGTCTGTGATATATTTTACAGTGAGAATTTCCAAAGGTCTGTACTCATTCAGAAACGTCTTAGTTAAAACCAGTACTTAGAAAGTAAGTGCAACTGTGCTGATTGATTTCATCCTTGCTATTCTTTGACTGTTTACCATGCATTTGGCATTATGGTAATTACAATGAAAATTTATCTCTAATCTCCATTTTAGACATAATAAAGTTGAAGCTAGAGATTAAATAACCCAGGAAAATCATGTAGTTAGAAATTCAGTGTCGTGCTCCCCACAGTCATTCAGGTCTCAAAAGAGTTTTAAATTTTGGGTGGAATATTGACAGGTAGACAGCGCACTCGCAAAATGGAGAAGAATTTAAAAGTGGGGTAAAAATTTTAAATAGCTATACAATGTAGTGAGAACATAGAGGAAGAAGTGATTAATTCTGACCAAGAGAATCAATGAAAAAAAATCATTTTTCTTTTACTCCTCTAATTTTTTAATATCTTTTCCTGATTTCTCTCATTCTTTTCATGATATTACATTTTTCTGTAATCAAGACTTAAATTTTTTGGGTTTTTTCATAATTTTGTATTTTATCAATCTATAAAAGTTTTAGTTCTTTCTTTTCTTTTTGTTTGTTTTTGGAGACAAGGCTTTGGTATGTAGCCCAGGCTGGCCTCAAACTTGTGATTCCCCTGCCTCACCCTCCCCAGTGGTGGGATTGCAGGCATGCACAGTCAGGCTGTCTCTTTTAGTTCTTGCTCAGTAGTGTTTCTTGCTGTCACTCCCCAATATGCATTTCTATTTTCACCCTCATTTGTCCATCACTGTGCCATCTAGGTCGATGATGGCAAACTGCTTAGAGATTTCAGTGACACAAACAGCCCACTGTGCCAGAGGTTCACCATCACAGGTATAGATCAATGATTACCAACCTTTAATGGACCTAAGATTATCTAATGATGCTTAGTCAAAGTAGCAACAGATTTTGACTCATCAGTTCGAGAAGATACATCAAGCTTGAGAACCACTTATCTAGAGCAATAATTTTCATATGTGATCTGGGGATTACTGGAGTAACTCAGACTTTACCAGGGATACGCAAAATCAGAACTATTTTCATAGTTATACTAAGATGTTTGCCTTTGTGGACATTTGTGTTGATGGTGAGGAACAGTGATGAGTAAAACTTGTGTATTTTTAGAAATTAAGGTTGTGGAATGAAACTAAATTAGTAATAAATATATTACTGCCACACACTTGGAAAATCCAGTTTTTCATTAGAATGCCCTTAATGTATCAGTTAAAACTATTGATTTCATTAAATCTTTACCTTGAATGTATATTTTATTAATATTCTATGACTGTAAAATATTTTAAGGTGGTTTTGCGCAGTCAAGTATAGTTGTGTCAAGAAGCAGTACTTCTAGAGATTTCTGAATTAAAATAGCTTTTTTCATGGGATACTATTTTCATTTTTTAAAAAAATGACTGGTAGGAGAACTATGGGTTATTCAGACTTTGATTTTTGGCAAAAATTTTCCAAAAACATCAACAAAGAACGCTACAGAACTTCAGCATTACTAATGATAAAATTTAAGCTTTGAAGCAAAGCTTCAAAGGAAGATGCTACTTTTAAATGGTTCCCAAGAACAATGCCAGAGTGCTGTGAAGTGTTCCTGAAGAGAAGAAGGCTGTGGTTAGAGAGAAAATAAACATACAACCTGCATTTACACGATTATAGCTCTGTTGGAAGTAAGTTCAATGTTAATAAACTATTAAGTATCTTTAAACAGAAATTCCTATAAAGCAAGTTATGTATTCATCAGTTGGTAAAAATATACTTAGCAGATACTGTGGGAAGTGTTTTTTTTGTTTTGTTTTTGTTTTTTTTGGTATCAAGAATCAAACTCAGAACCTTGTGCTTGCCAGGCAGGCGCTTGTGCTGCTGAGCTGTAGCCCTGGCCTGACACTGTGAGGATAAGATAAAGTGTTTGATCTCGATCTCTCTTCTATTTGTGATTTATTTGTATGGAGGATTTGAGGTATGGATTTAGTTTTTATCTTTTTCAAATAATTATTATTCCAGTATCATTTATTTATTTGAAGCCATCTTGTCGCAGTGATTTGAGATGTCACCTTTGTTCTATACTATCTATAAATACTTAGATCTGGTTTTAGATGCTAAATTATTCTACAATTTGATTGATTATGTGCCAATACCACGTTTTAATTATAAAAATTTTATTTTATTTTAAAATCTCTGATCATTCCTGTTTCCTCTAATAGCTTTTAATTTTTAGTTTTAGTTCTTGACTATTTTTACATGTTTGCTTTCTCATACGAGTTTTAGTAGCAAGTTGTTGAGCTCCCCAAGAAGGTTCTTGGTATTTTGTTGGGATTGCATTACAAGTTAATTCAGAAAGAACTGATAACTTTGTGTTGAGTCATCCTATTCAAGATCAAGTGATGTCTGTTTATTTGTTCAAATATTTTAATGTTTTCAAAAGTGTCTTTCAGTTTCCTTAGGTAAGTTTTATTTACATATTAATTTATCCGTTTTATCTTATTGCTTTTGTAAGTATGGCTTTCTCTATCACTATATCCTTTATTTAGTATGTTTGTATGTGAAGGCTATCTATATTCTTAATTTTATGCTTTATTTCTTCATCTTGTTTTATTTATTATATTGCAATCTGAAAATAGGTGGTTTTGCTTCTTTCTAGTTTGTAAGCCTCTTGCCTATTTCATTGGCCAATACCTTCAGTTCAATAGTAGTGAAAATATTGAGGTTCTTGACTTGCTTCTGGTCATAGTGGAAATAGTCCTAGTATTTATTAAGGAAAATTCTGGCTGTAGGGTTAAATCGCAGTGTAATCTCTCATTATCCATGGGGGATTTGTGTGGAATTCGAGGAATTGTGTGGATACCAAACTCTGAGAATGGTTAGTGGTCTAAAATAAAGTGCTGTAGTGTTTGCATGTAAACTGTGTGAATCCTTCCCTTATACTTTAACTTGAGGATATAGAGAGTTAATTGATAGTATTTTATCACGTTGATGAATGCTAATTTTGCTGTAATAAGACAGTAATTTCTAGTGTTGGGAAGGACTTGGTTTCTAAGAAGTAGGAGGAAATGGAGTTGAAATGGATAGTAGAAGCAAGCAAGTAACAAGGGAAAGACTTCGGGACTGTCAAAACAACTGCTCTTGGTGAAGGAAGATGCTACTTTTAATGATACCAGAGTTTAGTGTTTGCTTGGTTTACTTGGTTAATTTAAAACATAAGATCTGTTTGCAAAGTAAGCTGGTATAAATAATTCCAGAATACCATTGTCCTAGGCTTTGCTGGCAGCCTGGGCGAATAAAGAATAATAGTTATTTATATATTGTTTAACCATGAAGATTACTCTTTGTCTCATTTCTGAACTTCTAGTTTTTGTAGAAATCAAATGTTATTTTCAGTTAATCCCACTGGTGGTGTTTATGGAATGCCTTATATTAGATTTACTGGGGAATGCCTTATATTAAAATTATAAAGATGTATGTATGTGTGTATTTTGTACCCCTACTGGTCTAGGAGTAGTCTAACCTTATTAAATGAGATTTGACTCAAAAAGCTTAAATAATTTCATTTCATCAAAACTCAGTCTTCCTTTTTTTTGATACCGGGGATCAAACTCAGAACCTCATGCTTGCCAGGCAATCGTTTGTGCAGCTGAGCTATCTTCCCAGTCTCCAAGACTCAGTCTTCTTACTCTTGCTTTTCCTATTTTCTCTCAGAGTTTACTCATGGCATTTTTAGACTTAATGCTGTCTCTAAGGATGTAGAAAAACTAGACTGCTTTTCCTATTCTGTGTTCTTTAATAGTCACTCAACAGTCACTCAACACTTCTGATACCACATGTAGGAGTTTTCCCCACCTAACAAACAATCCTCTGGCAGATTTTCGAGAGGGCACAAGCAGGAGGTCCTCCAGTTTACTTCAGTTCTACTACATGTCTGCTTGGAGATGCCTGATAGATTGAGAGCTCAGTCCCCATCTTCTCACTTCAAATGCCAATTGAAAGCACAGATATGATCTATATTTCTGACCAAGCTGTTATAAATCGGGTGATTTAAGGACTAAGCTGCCAGTGGGTCCCTGTAGACATGTCCACATCTTAACTTGTATGTCCAGTTTTCTTGAAATGCCCATTTAGTTAATTACACAGATCCACAAAGCCAGACTCCCAAGCTCTCCATTGCTTTCATTTTAGTTTTGTCCTTGGGACAGATAGTTGATTGTATAAGTGAATTTATTACTGCTTACCGAACTGTGGTGGAAATATTTGTACCTAAATGTTGATACTGTCTTTAGCATTGGCCATTTATTGCCTCTTGATCTCAGCAGTCTTTGTTTATTTTCTAAGACAAATTCTATTTAACATCTTTTTAGATTATGATTTGGTACATTTAGGAGACACTGTTGTTGACAGAGGAAGACATTGGGCTTTTGTAGTGTTTAAAGGTTCATATAAATAAAATGTCTTGATAAAATTGAGTGTGTAAGCCTAACATTTGTCTACTTTAGGGTAAGAAACAAAGTGAATATATGTTTAACTATGGATCTTTGTAAGCTACCAACACCAGAAACTTCTGAGATCTTGGTTGTTGATGTGAAGGGACAGAGGTCAAGGTATCTGATGTTGCCATAAGACCATGCTGGCACAGCAGAACTGAAATTCTTTTAGTTCCCTTTAGGTTTCCTGGTAACTTCCGATAAAAGAAATTGTAACCGCTAGGTGGCGCTCTGAAATTAGAAATGTGCAAGCCCCCCCTGCTACAGCTAGAATTGTGGCCTACTTAGCAGAGCAATTGCCTCTGAGAGCAGCTGGTGGCAATTTCTGAAACCTAACACAGGTTTCAAGTAAGAAAGAAAGGAAGAAATAGATAAAAATAGAGGAAAGAAGTTAGGAGGGCAAGGAAAAAGAAAAGGAGAAAGTAAACAGGCATATTGTGAAGGAAGTAGTATGCTATCCGTAATTACCTCGGGAAAGTGATACCTGCAGCATTTGTTGCTTACCATTGATTCGTTTGCTTATTTTTTGATACTCATGTATAAGAGGCAGCAGTTATGGTGTAGGATACCATGGTGATAAAATGCTGTTTCTACTCTCTGGGAGTTTATAGGTAGAGTTTAAATATATGCACTTAAAATTGTGATACCCTTTTTGTAGGGTATGTTAAATAATATGGAAAGAATATACTTTAAAAAAAAGTTTTGTTTCATATTCAGCATTTCACTTCACTCTCAGAGGAAGATTTTCTGGAATTAAAACAAATATGATGTTGACATATTTGTGAAGCTGTCTTCCAGAGGGCAGCAGTGTGTTGCTCAGGACTGGAGCTTGAGGCTCAATACCTGCCTCCTGTGAAAGGGGTAGCATGTGTATGTCTATATCTGTGTTGAATGAATGCTGGGATCAGGTGGTCAGATGGGAACCTCAATAAGGCATCTTCTGATTAGACTTAGCCTTTCTGCTCCTTTTAGAATTACGACTTCTGATCTTGAAACCTTTCTTGATAGCCCATACCCCCTCTCTATATATGGCGTTCTCTGTTCACCTTTGCTGCTTCTTTATAAGGCATCCTGGGTTTTTCTATAGTGAATTCTTTTAGTAGAGTCTGTTTCTACCAGTGCTCAATACATTTTGGTTGAATGAATGAATCTGACTAGTTACAGTGTAACCATATAAGATGACTTTGATAGGAATACTTTCTAAAAGTGTCATTTTTTGGCATACCATTAAAGGCCTTTCTTTTAACACTTTACACATATGTGAGAAGATGCTGGCAGTTGCTTTGATGTGTAAGATAGACGGCATATTTAAAAATAACCAGAAGATACATTGGTCATAAGACAGGTAGATTTGTAGCTCCATTTCTGTAAATACAGCTCTTAAATTTTAACATAAATTGTGTTGCTTCATTTTGGGTGACTAATGCAGCTGCAGTCTTATTATTCCTAAAATAATAGGCATTTATGATACCTATTATTTACTACTGAGACTGTAGGGCCTGTTTAGGATGTCTTGCTAAACTGAGCAATGGAACTAAGTCAAGGTGGAGTAGAACAGTAAAATATGGCAGACGGGATTTCACTGCAGCAGAATTCCACTAAATGGAAGGGTTAGTATCAGTAGACAACATCTATCTACTGAATACTAGGACTTTCATATTCAAGAATATAGATTGGAAAATGGGCATAATTTATTCATAAAATGCTTAACACTTTACAAAAAGTCATCAAAGAATAGAAAGTTTTGAAAACAGATTAAGAAACAATTCACACACCATGTGATTCATCCCTTTAAATTACATTATTTAGGTTTTTTAAAAAAACACATTCAGATATTATTCAACTATCACCACTGTCTAATTCCAAAATTTTCATTATCTCTAAATGAAACTACTCAATAGCAGTCATTTTCAATTTTTACCTCCTCTAGACTTTAGTAAACACTACTTTTGTCTCTATAGGTTTGCCTATTTGGAGATTTTATAAAAATGGAATGATCATACAGTGTGTTTTTTTGTGTGTGTGAATAGCTTCTTTCACTTAGCATGATGTTCTTAAAATTCATCCATGCATAATACTTTATCAGAACTTCATTCCCTTTCATTGCCAAATAAAATGCCATTGTATGAATGTGTTTTGTTTATCCCTTCATCAGTTTGTGATTTGTTTTTACTTTTTGGCTATTCTGAGCAATGCAGTTATGAGCATCCATGTACAAGTTTTTGTATGGACATATGTTTTCATTTTTCTTGATTATATACCCTGGAGTGGAATTGCTGGATCATATGGTAAATCTGTGTTTAACATTTTGAGGAACTGCCAAGCTCTTTGCAAAGAGACTTTATCATTTTACAATCGCACTAGCAATGAATAAGGGTTTCAATTTTTCCACATCTGCACGAAAATATAATATTGTCTTTTTTTAAAAATTAAAATCATCCTAGTAGTGGGTGTGAAGTGGTTATCTCATTATGGTTTTTATTTGCATCTCCCCATTGGCTAATTATATTGCAAATCTTTTCATGTGCTCTTGACCATTTGTGTATGTTTTTTTGAGAAGTGTCTATTTAAATATTTGCTCATTTTTAATTTGGTTGTCTGTTTTTATTATTGAGTGGTAAGAGCTCATTATATAAGTGAGTATAAGTCCCTTGTCAGACATTTGATTTTCAAATAGTTTTTCTTATTCTTTTTAACTTTCTCAATGATATTTTTTGAAGAAATGTGTTTTATATATGTATAAAAACAGTATATACAACACGATGAAATAGGATGATTTAGCAGTATTGTAATGTCTGCTTGTATCAGGTAGGTTGCCATGAGGGGATGATTGTGCTTTTAATCAGTATTAATAAATTATAGCTAAGAAAGAAACATAATGGTCTCTAGGTCATAACATACCTTCTTCCTTCTGTCTTTGTGTTATCCTTTGTGTTACAAGCTATTTAAAAAATGCTGGGGGTTGGGACAGTGAATAAAGAATAGTTGTTTTCTTCTCTTGTGACTCAAGCAAGGTAGACTGTTAGAGTTATAGCTGAAAAATAAAACTGAAAGAAATACTTGTTCTGGCAGTGATAACAAAAGTACTACCTTTTCCAAGTCACTATCAGAGAAACGAGCTCACAATTGGTCATATTATAGTATTGCAAGCCACTATCTTCTTTTCCTTTAGGTATAATAAGAGTAACCCATTAACAATGAAGACTTAACATTTATATGGGGAGGATACAGGTGGGGGAAGTGGAGCATGTCTTTGGTACAGAATGCATGGAGTTGCTTCCATGTTAGTAATTGAGCAAGGGACTGCCTTTTTTTCTTTTTGGTACTGGGGATCGAACTCACAACCTTGTGCTTGCCAGGCAGGCACTTGTGCCACTCAACTATATCGCAGGCCCTAGTGAACTGCTTTGATGGACATGAAGTGAAATGTTGAGATGCTTGTGATTGCTTGCCCATAATGTTGAGTGGTCTTTCCCAGTATTCTATTCAAGAGCATTCTTAGTCTCCTTCAAACACCTTCATCTTATGTCAAAATACAGTTGCAGTTACAAAAATATTTTAAAATTTGATTGAGATACACTAAGAAATCTGCAAGTACGTATCTGCAAGTTATAGGGACACGTGAGTGACTTTTTTCCCTTCAAGGGTTTCAAGTAGAGTACTAAGAAAGATGTTTTCCTCTTCAAGGTTTTTCCCTGGAATGATCTATCAAAATCAACATGGACTCTTGACCCAGGTTTTTTCAGCTGTGTTATATGAAGATATGAGTTCTGTTAGTCTGGCATGTGCTACAATATTTTAAAATTTTTAAAAATTTCATTGTTATAATATGAAAATAATTCTAGACTATAGATAAAATGTATTTATGTGAACAATTTCCTAAACTTTGCTTCCTGAAGTGTAACCATTAAACTTTATGGCTTAACAGTACAGTTGTGTGTCCCTTCAGATCTTTTCAATTGTTCTCTTGTGATTGGCATAAATCATTCAGGCACTTTCTTTCCTGACTCCTCTCCACACCCAGAAAGATATTTCAGATCTTCTTGATTTTAATCTTGTCCTTTGAGCAGAATGAAGAGATGAGTCAGAGTTTTCTAATACTGTTGCTTTTGGGGGAGGTTATACAGCATTATTTTGAATTGGTAGTGGCATTAACTGTCAGTTTTGTTCCTTAAGCTGGTGGAGAAAATCTAAATCATGAGAAAGTCGTGTAATGCTGACATCACTGAGGATATAGGCTTACACTTAGAACACAGTTCTCAAGAGACTTGTGTTCAGTACATAAAGATGTGTTAAAGTGATTGTGAAACTCCTTGCTGTCAAGTAACAGACTTCTGAGTTAATTTTTGTGTAGTCTGCTTTGCAGATGATGCTGTCCTTGAATAGGAAACAGTTTTTGTCTCAGTACCATATTGGCATCTGTGGTTAAGAATAGTTCAAGTATTGTTAAAATTTCATATGTGATAATATGCTTCCTCGACTGAGGAGTCAGTTTGTATGACTGTTAAGGAAATAGTCTTACTTGACAGTTTTAATACCACGTAAGTTTTTTGTCTGGTATGAGCAGGTGACTGTTATATTGACTCATAGTCTAGAGAGATAATGGTAAATTTGGACCTTGGGATAGGAAGAGATCTGTTATGTAAGAAAGCTGTTGATTGAAAGAGCAATATTTGTTGTTGATCAGTTTCAACTGTGTAACATTTAAAACATTTGGTCTATGGTTTGAGAAATGGGTTGAAAAATAATGATTTTGACCCATAGCACTCAGGAACTTGCTCTGTGATATTAGAACAGGTAAGACATACATCTTTGTCTTGATTTAAATTTGGGAGAAGACAGTATTACAGGCAGGCCCTATTTGATATATAAAGGTGTTGCCCTGCCCCATGTAGAAACACACGAAGGGGAATGCAAAAGAGGGAATAGCAAATCTATCGTAGGTACTTGTATGTATCTACTGTGTGATATGTGTTATATTGCTGTAGGATACTGGCTTTAAAAATTGCATGTGCTCTTGCATAGCTTTGTGTCCAATACCATTACATCAGGATTAAGGTTGCAATTTACGAAATTTTGGGGGAATATGAAGATTTAGTCTATGGCATGATTTAGTCTAAGTTAAGTGATATGTTTCTAGATTATATATTCTATAATGCTTTATAAACTACATATATATGTATGTATATACATACTTTGGTGTCTATCAAATGTTACATAATTTTAAAAATTGTTATTTCAGCAATTAAACATTTTTTAATCTAAACCTTTTACAAGTTTTTGCTTAAATTGTGCGAGAAGAAATCTGAACTTACCCAGTTAGTCAAACTATCTGTCTGCTATCTTTTTGTCTTATATATTCATCCATTTTTCTACTTTAATTGTTGAAATGCAGGATCACTAATGTAAATGTCATTTTCACATGGACTGACTGTTCTCTTTCTCTGCCTCCAAGTTTCTACATAATCTCTCCAGACCCAGCTAATCGGTCAAAAGGGTTCTGTCTGGGCTAGCCAGCCAGACATTTAAGTATTCATTACCCAGTATGTGTGTGTGTGTCTGTATTTAATGATGTTTGTGCTTGATTTAGCTGGGGATTTTGAAATCTTTGTAAGTTTCCCTATTTTAGAATTAAGGGTCATCCATTAGTAGAAAAAAATACCAGAAAAGTTACTATTTCCTCATTCATCTGTGTTCCACATTATACAAATGTTTACTGAAAACAGTACCAGTTTTCTGGGAAAGGTATTGACTAAGACTGTTTCACCCTTTACCCCTAGTCTCCAATTCATGTTTTCTTCTTACAATGTGATCATGTGCTTGCCCAAGCCTGGCTTATGAACCGTGTAGAATATTTGTGAGGTTTTGTTTTTTAAGCCCTGCGCTGTGCACATGATGCAGTATTTAATTTGGAACGAGCTCTGAGTTTGGTCACACGTGCTTCTTGTGGTGTTTATTTTGGAATCCACAAGTAGGGAAGTATTTTTGCATTTTATACATCTGGACATTGTTCATGGTTCTTCTGTGACTTGGGAATTCTGCGTAGAGCAAAATCCAAGGAACAGTATTAAAAATAACATGGAGTTATAATGACATCTGAGCAAAAACCCTTGAGAATACCCTTCGGATCCCATCAGAGTTTGATTTTGTGGTGGTGAACTTTTTCATTGGTGTGACTCACTGGTGGCAAGTAGATTGCTGGGATTATAAGGTTACATGACACCCTCAGATGTAGGCAAATGGGCTGCCAGACACCCGGAAGGTCTAAAGCAGTTTTGGCTTTTTAAGGGGAGGATTTTGCAAGAGAGCTAAAATGAATTCTGCTCACTCACCAGCATGCCTTTGCCACCCTTCGGCTACACAGGCATCTTAAAGAGACCTGTGAGGCTCTCCATTTACTTTCTTGATCCTGCTTCATTTCAGCTAGTTTAGAACTAAAGGATGACTCTGAACACACCAGTCTCTGAGTAAAGGCTGAGAGGTGGGGTCCAGTGACCTTATCCCTTTCCTGATTTTCACATGAGAAGTTTTTTAAACAGGATTGGACATGGTATAGTACAGCACTGCCTCCGTTTGCTAGGGATCTACTAGACTGGAAAAAGTGGAAAGAGATGTACAAACTTTGCTGCTCTTTGAGTGAGTTTGCATATGGACAGTATTGCTTTTTGGCCTCAGCCTAGTTTTCTTTTATTCCCACATCTCATCTTTAATGCAGCTGCAGATAGAAGGCTGGGAAAGCAGAATGAAAGCTTCAAACAGATTTGCAATTGAATGAAAGAAAGAGTGACTCCTCTTGTTCACAGTATAGACCAGTTTGGGTAGGAAGCTGTTTGCTTTTTTACTGTCTGGGTGAGGAATATTTGCCTTTGTCTCTCTAAGTGTTATTAAGAAAAAAACTAATAAAGTAATGGGAACTACAAGTTGTAATTAATATAGAATTTTCAAATGTGTTAAAAGCCCCGCATGTGGTTATAATAGAAAAAAATAATTGGAGAAGAAAGGCGAAATTCTGTTGTGCTTTAAGAATCAATTGAATATGATGTGCTTTGCGTGCTTAGATAAGATAACTCAACTAGTTACAGTTTCTGTTAAGCGATTTCTTTAGCCATTCCTTTGGGATTATTCCCCCTTTCCTTTCGTAATACATTTTGCAACTTTCATTTAAAAAATAGCCATCAAAATTTAAACTTTTAGAATAAACACATCTGAATCTTATGATAGGAACCACAGTGAAAGAGAGAATGGCTTGGCTTCAGCTGGAGAGGGAAGCACGATAGGAACCCTAACGGTTGGTATCAAGATCATACTTGTTTTGTGTTTTAATGACTACAAGAGGAAATGGCGAAATCAGCTGATGACACTAAATTGTTTACTGATCCAAACGGGGATTTCTGGGAAGCTTCTTCAGAGTATTTGGAATAGTGGAAGAATTAGGCAATGTAGTGGCTAATACACTGAACTTTAAATCAGGTTTATGTGAAGCAGCAGTGCATCAATACATGGAAGTCACAGAGTCTGTCAGTCTTCTGAGAAGACGACTTTAGAGTCTCTGTAAAGGATTTGGCTTTGATTCCTGTTATGAAAGGAAGACTTAGGAAAATGAAATGAAATATGAAATGTTTATCAATATTTCATGGTAGGAACTCCAAGGGTTGATACAAACATCATACTTGTTTTGTGTTTTAATGACTCCAAGAGGAAATGGTGAAATTGGCTGATGACACTAAGTTGTTTACTGATATGGAAGAAATATATCAAAAATGAAAACTATTATGGTAATAATTACAGCTATAAAGTACAGTATTTAAAAAATGATATGTGAATTTCTTTCTTTTTTGATGCCAGCCTTAGCAGATCCAAGCAGGTGTGGTTCTTTCAAAGTGATCATATAAAATTATATTCTCATTTTGTGCATGCTTCTTTTGGGGAAACTAGCCCTTCACACATGCTTTTGACTATTTTCTGTGGTAGGAGGTCTTTATTTTGTAGATTACTTTTGAAATAGCCAGTTGTCATTTAGAGCCCAAGTGTGGTGATTACATGAAATAATCAAAATAAACAATAGATTTAAAATGTAAATTAAATAAAATAACACACTGAATTTTCCTTAATTACTTCCAAAATGGATTCTAAAGAATTTACCAATGAGAAAATGCAAAAAATATTGTGTAATAGTCGTAGTAGAGTAAGTTCTTGGTTGGTATATTTCACAAATGTGTATCGTTTAGATATGTAAATTATAGAGGCTTGTTAACACTCATTATATCATCAACATGCCATATTTTTGTTCATTTGTTAGTGCTGGGAATTGAACTCAGGCCCTTATACTCTATCACTGAGTTACCCCTCAGAGCAACACATATTTATACGTGACCTTGTCTTTTAAACTGACTTCAAAGTGTCCTTTTAGGGAGGAACAGAAAGATTCTGAAGTAACTAGAGAATACTTTAGTTCATTTGATGAATGCTTACTTATGTGTAAGGAAAAAGATGTAGTGCCGAGTTAAAAAATAAGATGGACACTGCTATGGGAACTGTGGGTTTGCTATGCATATCCATCCCTTCATTTCAAAAGACCGGTGAGTGCAGACACATCCCTCAAAAATGTTTGGTTTTATTTTTGGTTAGTATATTCACGTGAAACAAACAACAATCAACTGCACTGATTTGAGACAAGTAAGTCAGTTGGTTTCCAAATCTATGAAACTTTGTGCTGATTCGGTACGGTGGAACGATGCTACATGCTTGCCTTCGTTCCTCCCCGTAATGAAAATACCGTAAGTTACCTGAAGGGTCAGAAAAGGGTTTGTATACAGAAGCAGATAAGGGGACTTCATGTCTTCCTTATTCTTCTGAAATTCTTAAAAAATAAAATAAAAATGTTCCATGTATAATTATATGCTTTTTCTATTTTGAAAGTCCTGTCTGTCTGTCTATTTATCAGTCTACCCTTATTTTTTTGAGACAGGATCTTGCTGTGTATGTAGTTCAGACTGACCTTGAACTCTCTATGTAGTCTATTTAGGCCGGCCTCAAATTTGGGATAATCCTGCTGCCTCAGCCTCCCGAGCCCTGGGATTACAGCTGTATGGCATCATACCTGGTTCTTAAAAGTCATTATAGAGACCCCCCCCATGTTTAAATTTATGATTGTTCTAGACACTTTTCTTGTTGAGATAAAATCTCTGACACCGGAAGTTAAAAGGAGGAAAGATTTATTGTAGCTCGCTGTTTGTAGAAGTTTTAGTTCGCAATTGGCTGACTCTAGCAAGGGATGGGCGTCACAGAGGGGAAGCAGCTCATGCAGGAAGGCAGGGAGCAGCAGAGTAGCGGGGAAGCAGGAAGAACAGCAGCCCTCGTTGGTCCTTGTATTCCACCAAAGCTGTCTTCCCTTAGGGAGGTAGCACTCACCCCCTGTGTGGGACACCTTAACCCTAGCATTGCACAAGAATCAGTACCAGCATCACATCCTTAATCCCAGCATGGAGCACTCCAGAGCCAGCCACCTCTGAAAAGCCTCACTTACCATCACGTGAGGCTGGGAGAACATGTGGACACAAGCCATAACAATAATAGGCGGTTGCCTTTGTAGTTCTCGGTACTTACACACTTAAAAATCAGAAAATATTCAGGCGAACTTCTACCTTTAGGACTGCATTTTTTTGAGTAATCCTGGGGAGACCAAGAATAAAATGTAACTCCATGGTTCTAAATACAAAGTGACGGACTAGCTGTATCAGAATCGTTGAGGGGACTTGTTAAACACAAAATTTCAAATTCCATTTCAGATACATGAAATCTGAATCTCCAGAGTAGAGTCCAGGTATTTGAACAACTACTTCTCTATATAAAACAATACTATTTAAAAACAAATATATATCAATCCTCCCAAACACCAAAGAAGCCTAAAAGACAGATTGATAAAAATATATTAAAATGGAGCATGGTGTGTGGAGTTTGTTCTGTGCAGTTCTGCAGACTGAAATGTAATTAATAGTTATTTTGAATTCATTTATTGATAGTCATAGAAAGCTTGGTATCATGGGAAAGAAATAGATTTCAGAGTCAGAATATCTGTGTAGCTTGGGAAAAGTATTTAATAACATTCTCTCTATACCTTAATTTCCTTATCTGTAAAGTGGAGAAGATAATAGTGATGACTTCCTGAAAGAGTTATTGTGAAGATTAAATGAGATACAGAATGAAAGGTACTTAGAACACAGTAAATCCTAAATACAGGTGTGTAGTTAGAGTTGGGGATGTTACACATTGATAGAGTACTTCCTTATCATGCTCAAGACCTTGAGTTTAATCCCCAATACTGCAACCAAAACAAAGCAAAACACTAGTAATGCTGTACATCTGAGATTCAGAGGGGAACATTTTGATATCTACTGTGATGTTTGTCATATAATAAAGTCAGGCTTGCTTGTCAGGAAATGAAAGAGAATAAGTATATTGTGTAAAAGTATTTAAACGGGGGAAATACCCTCTTTTACTTTTTTGGAATAGGACTTTGAAGTGGCAGGATCTCAATTTGCTATATTTTTCATTTGTGTAGCCCTCTGGAATAAAACCAGTAAAAATGATATGCTGAGAACAGACACAGTAGATGGCGCTTTAGATTTAGTTTTAAAAGAAATCAGTACTACAGGGAAAAACTAAAGCCACATTTTAATGACTTTTTTCATCTTAGAGTACGCAACTCTAAGAAGTGAACTTTTTTTTTTTTTTAAACAGATCTGGAGAATAACTTTAGCAACTATGAATCTCCTAATTGTTATTTGTGCCAGGTTTCTTCTTTGGGAAATATTGGAGCCACAGATATATAAGGAAATTATTTTCTATCTAAATATTGCCTTATTTATGAGTTTTTTCCCCCTACTGGTTGGCTGTATTTCATATTTCTACACCTTTCTAGATTTTTCTGACTCTTTTTAGTATTTTATGAAAATGTGATCATGAAGTCAGTTTGAGTCATATCAATTTATAATATAGTCATATCTATATTTAAAAATTTTTTTTTGGTATCAGGTGTTGAACTCAGGACCTCGTGCTTGTCAGGCAGGTACTATGCCACTGAATTGTATCCCCAGCACTGTAGTTATATATATATATTTTAAATTTTATTTAGAAGGTAGTAAAAATACAACAGAACAAGATAAAACAAAGCCACTCGAGACAATGTAGTGACATTGGTACAGAATTTCAAAGCAGGATACTGGGATAATAGTAATAGGTACTATAGTATATCTCATTATCTTCACAATTTTTTTTTCTTTTTTTTTTAATTTTATTTAAGGAGAAAAGAAAAAAAAGCAGAGAAAGGGTACAAGTTATACAGATTTGCAGAAAAAAAACGAACAGTAGGAAATCAGTAGTTAATGGATTACATATTGCCATCTTAGAAATAATTGTTCAAGTCACAAAATTAAAGCTTGTAAAGTGGACATTCCATCACTGATACTGCAAACAGTTCTGTTCAATGATTCAATAAAACTCTGTGATATCATATTCTATCTTATACACTTAAATATACATGCAGTTATATAGTTTAGAGCACTTTCTTTTCCTCTCTTTTGTACAATGACTATTACACATTTTGGGTTTCATTGCTCTCACGGTTCTTATTACTTTTTTGGAAGAGAGTAAAACCAAATGTGACATAACAGAACAGAATCGGTCAAGTCAAAAGGGTGGACATAATAGATAATGTGAAAACATAATACCAGGTGATCAACAATGGTTACCATAATGCCTCCCGCTATCTCTAATAGAATTGCCTATACCATTAGTTATAATACAATTGAACAAAACAGTAAAGAACAAAACCGACAAAACCAAACCATTGGAGACATTGTAGGTCTTCAAAAGTAGATAAAAGTCAACGAGAATGGGCGTTATAATGAATCTCATTATCTTCACAGCTGATGCCTAAATTTTCGAACCTGATACTATCCAGCAAAACAGAATAGGGGAACATCAGTTAAAAACCAGATGGTGAGAGTAATACAGGGCTTTAAATCGAGGTAATGGAAAGTCAAAGTGGGTTACTATAATATATCCTGCTATTTTTTTCCTTTAATTAAAAGGATAAAAATTTAAAAAAAGTATTAAAAAAGTAAATAATGGAGTGGAGATTGAGATAAAAGAGGGCATAACAACGAAACAGCACAGATCAAAACATAACCATTTAAGCAGAATAGTGTTTCACCACCAGATTAATCCTGACCTAAAAGTAGTTACCATATTGTCTCTTTCCTTGAAATCCTTGAGTACAACTTCGTATACTGTAGCATTAAGTATACCAAAACAATGTAAAACCATTTAAGAGAATGACAGCATTACAGAGTATTTAGAATCGACTAACAGGAAATGAATAATGGTTTCTGTATAATCTCCTTATCTTTAAAAGGTTTTTGCTTATACTATCATACATAATAAAATCCAGTAAGATACAACCTATTTAGACCATTGGAGACAGAAGGACAAAAGCTAGATGAGACTTCAAAACAAGATGATACTAAATCAGTATTACCTATTAAGATGTCATTTTCTCCAAAATAGCTGTTCCTATCATCCAATCTTCTCTGTTCTCATTTCTGTTGAGCTCTTATTCTGTCAGTAGCTGTCAGTTTGTCTTCTTCACTTTGTTCTCTGCTCCATTAGTTGTGGCCTCCACTATTTCTGGATTCTTTGTATTTTTCTTTTTTTAGAATATCCTGCAATACTCTCTGTAGAGTTGAATTGGTGGTTGCAAATTCCCCCAGTTCCTCTTTATCCTGGAAGCACCTTGTTTTTCCATCAATTTCCAGGGACAGTTGTGCAGGATATCTCAATCTTGGCTGGAGATTATTATCTTTCAAAGCTTGAATTATTTCCCCCCACGCTCTTCGTGATTTGATGGTTTGTGCAGAGAAATCTGCTGTAATTCTGATGGGTGCTCCCTTGTAAGTGGTCTGTTTCTTGTCTCTTACAGCTTTTAATATTCTGTTCTTGTACTGAATTTCTGGAATTTTTATTATTATATGCCTGGGTGTTGCTCTGTTTGGGTTGTAGGTAGCTGGGGTCCTGTATGCCTCATACATCTGAGTATCTTTACCTTTTGCTAAATTAGGAAAATTCTCCTGGATTATTTCTGTGAGTAGCTTTTGTAGTTCATTTGTTTGTGTCCCTACTTCTTCTTTTATGTTCTTAATCCTTAAGTTATGGATCCTCTTATCATCTTCTTGTCTTTGTATTATTGCTGTTTGTTTCTTTGTTATTTTTAAGAAGTTTTTCATTTCATTCTCCCATATTACAATTCTGCCCTCCAGTTCAGATAGTCTGTCCTTAGTTTCTTTCAAGCTGCTATGCCAGTCTTCGATAGACTTCTTAGTTTCTTGGTAGTCCCTTTGAACCTGCTTCACGTATTCTATGCTTTCCCTGTTTTCTCCATCAAACAATTCTCCCCTCTTTTTCTGTTCTTCCATTCCACCATCTGTTTTTTCTTGGGTGGGGCTTAGCATTTCTCTAACTATTTTGCATACTTCTAGCTTCAGGTCGTTGATAACTTCATTCCTGAATTGGTCTATGAGGCTCTCTATATGGTGCTTTATGTGTATTGGTGTGGTGTCCGCTATTGCCTGTTTCTCAGAATTGGGGGCCGAGGAGCCTTTCTTGTTGCTGCCTCTTCCCATATTCTCTGTTCCTTATATATGCAAGCTTATATGAGAGGCCCAGCTTCTCTCCCTGTCAGCCACAGCCTGATCGAATTGCGCCGGTTAGGTGTTCCCACTCACCGCTGCGCACCAGGCAGCCTACGCGGGGGCCTGCCCCTCCCAGCCTCCGTCAGGCTCTGGGATCTGGGTTGGGCCAGCCTATGGGCTCCGCCGGCAGCGTCACGCAGGCCAGGCACTTTTCACCAATCCTGCCCGAGAGGGGAATGTGTGGCTGGAGTTACCACCACGCCCCGCTCCCGCAGGACTGCTCGGGCCCAGAAAGTCCACTGGAGTCAAACTGTGGTGGAGTGTCAGTTTCTCTCACTCACCCCGCCACAAGTCAGAACATGCCTCCCTGCCCGTCCTGTTTTCGACTCCGTTCGCAGACTCCCGTTCTCAGAGTTTCCGTGCGTCTCTCTCCTTGCCGAGCCGATGTAGAGGCAGCCAGCCACCGCGCGGCGGGAAACCCAAATCGCGGCTTCCAATGGCGCAGGGTCCAGCCTCAGCAGCGAGACTTTTCTGTTCCTGTTTTAGCACCAGGACTGCATTCCAAGTTGGTTTCTCTCAGCCGAGTTCGTTCCTGAGTCAGCAGAGAATAACTCCACCTGCTTATGTCTCTTTAGTCCGCACCATACCTGGCTTCTGAGCCTAGTTTTTCAGAGAGCCTCCGGTAGTTGCTGTTATCTGTCCGCCATGTTCTCCCGGAAGTCTACCTTATCTTCACAATTGTTGTCCAGTCAATTAGGTATAGAAAATCAAATCAATAACACACCGTTGTAAAACCAACTGAAGGAGAATATTGAATAGAGCATAACAATCATTACAAAACATAACAGTGAAAATAACCTTTGCCTTGAAACAGAACATAGAAGGAAATCCCCTTATTTGCTATATTGCATATGGCCATACTCCCCAGAGATGCTCA